TTCACTCTCATAGCTTTTGTCCCTGTAAAGATTCATTTACTCAGGGGTCCAGGCCAACTGACAGCTTTTTAGGAGATGACTTCCTTTACTATTATTATTATTACTGCTACTATTACTACTGCTACTATTGTCAGTTTTTTGAGACAGGGTCTTGCTATGTTGTTCAGGCTGGTTTCAAACTCCTGAGCTCAAGAGATCTTTCTGCTTCAGCCTCCCAAGTAGCTGGGACTACAGGCATGTGTCATCATGCTCCTTCCTTTACTACTTCATGTTCCTATCTCCATGTAAAGTCTTTGTGGTCTGCCCCCTTCCCCCCACCTCTCCAACCCTATCTCCACATTGTTCTGTGCTCCGGCCCTTTTTAGTTCTGAACACCTGATGAGCCAGGCTCTGGCCTTCTATGCCCTGCTACCACTCAGGAGATACACAATTGAACAGGCTCTGCTAATGACTTCACACACGTTTATTGTTAGGGTTTGGGGCTCAAATGTTCTCCAAATACTGTATATTAAAGACTTCAGGAGGTGGTACCTAGTGAAAGAAGTGATATTATTGGAAATGTGCCCTTGATGGGGATCTAGCGACCCCAGCCTCTCCTTTCTCTTTTACTTCCTGGCTGTCAAGAGGTGAATAGACCTCCTGTGTCAGGCACTACTGCCATGATGTATAATGCTGCCAGAGGGCCCAAAGCAGCAAGGTCAAGCGACCATGGACTGAAATAGTGCTTTTAAGTTGTTTCTCTCAGGTATTTGTCACAGTCATGGAAAGCTGACTAATACACTCTCTCTTATTTATTATCATTGCCTGTCTGCTCACTGCACTCTTTATGGATTAGGAACTTCAAAAAAGAAAGGCCCTACCTCTTTCCTTTTCCTGCTGTATTGTCAGAAACCAGCACGGTGTGGTGCCTTCACAGAGCACCTGGCTCCAGACAGTTGGCGCACAATAAGCAAGCCTTACACTCAGTTTGTATCTTCTATAAAAATGTAGCAAGAAGCCATTAAGCTTAGTGACTTTTTTCTCCCTTTTATGGTGTTTTTCCTGAGCAGCAGTGACCACTGAAAGGAAAGTGGTCCCCTAGATCTCCTTTGTTCTTTTCTTTTTTTTTTGTTTCTATTTTTTCTTCTTTTCTTAGATCTCCTTTAAAGGACATATCTTCCTTGGATTTTTAACATTGGCATTGTTTTTTGGAGTGGTAATGGACCTTACGCAAGGCCTTCTCCTGGGATGCCTGTCCACACAGATGGAGGGTGTGGTGGTGCTAAGTGATGTCTCTCTGGCATCTGGGACTGGGAACTTAGTTTTGTGTTCTCTTTTTACTTTTTTTTTTCCCCAGTACTGGGGTTTGAACTCAGGGCCTCACATTTGCTAGGCAGGTACTCTATCACTTGAGCCATTCTGCTGGCATGAGACTAGGAGCTGTAGAGACAGATCTTCATGTTCAAAGGCAGGGCTCTGGTGGAAGGGGCATATAAGCATAGATTTCCTTTTTTACTTAAAACCTTTCCGTCTCTCATCAGAGAAATGACAATAATTGATAGAAAAGCAATTATCTGCCAGGTGCTGGTGGCTTGTACCTATAATCCTAGCTACTTGGAAGGCTGAGATTAGGAGAATCATGGTTTGAAGACAGATGAGGGCAAAGAGTTCTCCAGACCCCACCTCCAAAATAACCAAAGCAAAATGGACTGGAGATGTAGCTCAAGCAGTAGAGTGTTTGCTTTGCAAGTGAAGCCCTGAGTTCAAACCGATGTCCAGCAAAAAAAAAAAAAAAAAAGCACCTTTCTTCTAATCTAACCCATAGCCCACTTAAATAACTAATCATTTATTTCCCAGTCTGGATGTGAAATTTTACATTTTGAGAGGTGCTCCAGGACCTCCAGTCAGTCCCACTGGAGTGAAATTTTGTGATATCAGCACATGGTTAGAAGTAACATTCCTATAGCAGTTAAACATGAAGCACAGCCCCTGAAAGTGCCCTCAAGCTCGAGGCCACACAAGCATTCTCAGTCCAACTCCTTTCCCCTCCTATTCCAGTCTGTGCCTTTAGCTGCATTTGGATAGCTTTGGAGAGCTGGGAGAGAAAGGGCGAGATGGCAAGAGACTCCAGCCATCTGTTTGGAGTTAATGTGAGGAGCTCTCTTATCTCTTTGAAAACTGGAAACTCACCAGGGACATAGTGCAACATAGCCTAAAAAACCTCTAATAGTCTTAGGGTAGAAAAACACAGGAATTTTCCAGTGTCTGCCACTTGACCTTTCTGTCCTTAAAAAATCTATCAGTTAATATCATTGGGCTAGGGGTATACTCCTTGGTCTCAGTAAAACCTTCAAAAAAATTTTTTTGGTGAGTGTGTAGCTCAGTGGTAGAGTACTTGCATAGCATGTGAAAAGTCCTGGGGTTTGATCTCTAGCACCATGCACACACACACAAAATCCTATGTAGTACTTTAACACAGCATTTGGAAACAGGGTGGAAAGTTTTCCATTTGGATTATTTTCCCTACTCTTTTTCTTTCTTTTTTCTTCTTCTTTCTTTTTTTCCCAGTGATTGGGATTGAACCCAGGGCCTCATACATGCTTGGCAAATGCTCTACCTCTGAGCTACGTATCTCTAGCTTTCCATTTCTTTCTTTTTTGGTGGAACTTGGTTTTGAATTCAGGCCTTTGTGCTTGCAAAGTAGACGCTCTACCACTTGAGCCACACCTCCAGCCCATTATGCTCTGGTTATTTTGGAGATGGAGTCTATTTGCCTGAGGTTAACTTTGAACCGAGATCCTCCCGATTTCAGCCTCCAAAGAAGCTAGGACTACAGGCATGAACCACCAGTGTCTGGCTCTTCCTTCCTTCCTTCTTCTCTTCCTGCCCTCTTTTCCCTCCCTTCCTTGTACTGGGATTTAAACTCAAGGCCTCCTGCTTTCTAGTCAAGTGCCCCTAGTTAGGCCCATTTTGTTTTGTTTTGCTTTGAAATAAGGTCTTACTATGTAGCCCAGACTGGCCTTAAACTCATGACCCTCCTGTCTTAGCTACCACACCTAGCTTATACTATTTCTTCTTTTTTTTACAGTACTGGGGTTTGAACTCAGGGCCTACACCTTGAGCCACTCTGCCGCCCTTTTTTGTGAAGTTTTTTTTGACATAGTCTCACGAACTATTCCCCCCCACCACCACCGCTGGCTTCAAACCTCAATCCTCCTGAACTCTGCCTCTGAGTAGCTAGAATTACAGGCGTAAGCCACCAGCGCCTGGCTCAGTTTCAAGTATTTTGTTATACCAGCACAAACATACTAAAACCAACAACACTTTATTTCCATGACTCTAGATTTGGAATCTAACTTGGCAAGGTAATATTCACAGATAACCATCATGTATCACTTAATAATGGGCGTACATTCTGAGAACTGCATTATTAGGTGATTTCATCATGTGAGAACATCATAGCATGTACTTCACAAACCTATGTGTCAACACTTGACTTCTGCATTAAGAGATGCAGTTAGAGATGAGTGCGATCTCCTTCTCTGTATAACTAGGATTACGGACAATACCCACCATGCCCGGTTATTTCTTCTTCTGTCTTCTCTCCAAGATCCTGCTTTTTGGAGTTTTCCTACCATATCAAAGGTTGGGGATGGTGACAGTATTTTCAAACAGTGTGATTTCCCAATCTGACTGCCTCCAGAGCTTGTTTGAATCCAATTGAAGTATTGGATTTGAAGACAGGCATCTTAGGTTCCCCTCTTGCCAATCTCCAACTGTGTACTCAGCCCCTGAACAGACAGATCCTTTAGTCCTTGCCTTTCAGTCTCAAAAATAAAGCCCCTGTCCTGCCTATTCTCAGGATTGGATGGAAACTCAGATGAATTAAATTTAGTGGCACATTATTCACACGTAATGGGTTGTTTTTGTTATTAAGATTGATTCAGACAATGTGGGATAACAGAAATAGTTTGGATTTTGAAGCTAATGGAATCTAGACTTGTAACCTGATACCTGTGACCTTTCTAAATCTGTCTCCCTCATATATTTTTGCAGGTAACAAAAACAAAGCACTTAGTAAGAGGTCATGTAAAGCGTACGTTAAGGGCTCAGTGAATTTCTTACCATTGTTAAACGAGATAATGCAATGCAGTCTGAAAATCACAAAATACTCCATAAGGGTAAGTAGATACTCTCCCTGGGTTCGAGACTCCGAAGGCCCTAAGAAGTTTCCCAGCACAAAAACACCCAGGTTCGCCCAGGGATGAGAAAAGGGGGTTGCACAGAAACATCGTCGAATTCTCACCGTCGGGCTTCCATGAAAAGCTAAATTGTGCCTAAGGTCCCTAAGTTTGGTGAGAAATGACAAAATGACCCCGGAATGCGCAGATCCAGCCACCCACTTAAGCTTGAGGGTCAGCTCCCGCTTCCGTGCACAACGCAACCAGACCAGAAGAGGCCGCTCTCGAGCCCCAGCCTCCTCAACTGGATCGGAGATACGGCATGTGCGTCCCGCGCGCGGCACTCGCGAGGAGGCGCTCGTCCATCCTGCCCTGCTCGGGTCCCTGTTTGCGCACGCGTAATTCCTTTCTTCCAGCGTCCTCGCCCCCTTCCGTCTCCACGCCAGTTACGTACGACCAGTTACGTTCGTGCGGCGTCTTCCACGCATTTTCTGACGTAGCGAGACAGCAAGTCGCCGAGCGGAAGCCCACGGCGCTCAGCGCTAGAGGACGGGAGGGGTGAGAGGAAAAAGCGGACCGGAAGTAGGATAAATACGCCTACCTCTCCGGCGCCCTCAGACAGGAAGATAAAGCGCGGGCCGGGCGGGTGTGGCCTCGGGAGACGGAAGGGGCTGCAATTGGTCCTCGGAGGTGGCGACGGCGACGATTGGTCCTGCGCGCGGAGCGTGGTGAGAATGGGTAGCAGCCGTTGAAATTCAAAAGTGGCGGGTGTGGCTCTGGACTGGTAGCCGGCGGCGCCCTGTATCGCGCGTGCCCTCTATCGCGAGCCGGCAAGCCCCGGTGCCCGGTCTTCTTCCATTGCACCCCCCCGGCGTGTGTGGGTCCGAGGTGGACATGGAGCCTCAGGTGAGAGGGGAAGACATGGGCCTTCGCAGGGAGGGGGACCACGGCTGGCCGCCCGGTGCTCCCGAGCCTGCGGCTCTACGCCTCGATGGCGCCTGCCTGGAAGGCGAAGGTCCGTGCGGCCCCGCGGCAGGGGAACGGGCGGAGGAGGGAGTGCAGACGGCTGTGAACAACCCAGGAGATCCCGGGCGACGTCTGTCTGCCCGCCCCCAGCTTCAAGTCTTGGCAGTCCCTGTCTCTCTGTCGGGACTTCGGCATTTCCCATTTCGAATTCTCAGACGTCCGACACGTTCCCACCTCTCCATTCTCACGGGTCGCTCTGTGGGAGAGGGGACTTCTGAGATGACCTCTGCCTTTGGAAAAGTGGGATCTAAGGCCAAATCCCTGCTGATGTCATTTTGTGTTGGTTTCTTTTATTATTGCTGCTTCGCGGTGTAGGAAGGGGAGAGGAGAAATGGGGGTAATCTGGGCTGACGACTCCTAATTCTCTCTCCTTCCCTAAATTTTGCCCGGTGGGACTGGTTGACTTAGTTTCCGTTTTCTGGTTTTTTTTTTTTTTTTTTTTTTTTTTTCGGTACTGGGGTTCGAACTCAGGGCTTGCTCTTGCTAGGCAGGCTTGAGCCACACCTCCAGCCCTAGTTCTTTTTATGGATGCTTCGGTTCACCCCACAGCCATCTGCAGCACCCCCTCTTCAGTAGAGAGAGATGTATGTGTGTAACAGTGTTCTGATCTCTGGTACCAGGAAAGGTCTGTCTGAATCCTTTGTTTACTGGTATTTTTTGTTTAGATTCATCGAAGGCAGGATTCAGCCTGAAGAGATTCTTTGTATTCTGGCAACAAAACAGCAGAGCTGTGTGATGTGACCATAAAAAGTAGTAAAAGTCTTCTTAGTTCTATTCATCAAATATTTACTGAGCACCTACTATGTGCCACGCACAGTTGTAGGTACTTAGGATGTAGCAGTGAAGGAGACAGAAGTCTCAGTCATCGTAGAGCTGCTATTCTGTGGGGAGGCAGACAATAAGAGCAGTTATTACATTGTATAACTCTATTGAAAAGCAGTAAGTGCTATGAAGAAAGGAGAATTCTAACAGGTTAAGAGGAAGGCCGCCAACTGGCAGAATACAGTATTAAGTAGGGTGGTCTCAATAAGTTCCATGAAGATGAAAGTTGAATAAAGACCTGAAGGAGCTCTGGAAGTCTATAAGAAATGACAGAAAAAAATGTAACTATTTTGATTGGAAATGTCAGAAGCAAGCAAAGGCAGTTCTGGGAATGAATAGCATAATAAATTATGGATTAAAACAAAAACAAAAAGACCTAAAGGAGGAGAGGGAGAAAAGCAAGTAGATATTGAGGAACGATCATTCCAGGCAGAGAATCTTCTGACATAGAGTCCCTGGAATGAAGTGACCAAAGGGGATGGTTGTGGAAGTGAAAGTCCGGTTATGGGAAGTGGGGCTGCTGATCAGTTTGCTTCTTGTAGGAGCCAACATGAAGTCTTTGACCCTTACTCTGAGTGCTATAGGGAACCACTGGATAGTTTTAAGCATAGAGAGATAAGATCTGCCATACATTTAATTTAAGAGAATTTCTGCATGGAGATGAGAATGTAAAAAGACAAGGATAGAAACAAGATCTGAGCTGGGCACCTGTGGCTCACGCCTGTAATCCTAGCTACCTGGAAGGCTGAGATCAGAAGGAATGCAGTTCCAGGCCAGCCTGGGCAAATAGTTCACAAGACCTCCATCTCCAAAATAATGAGAACAAAAAATGGACTGGAGGAGTGGCTCCAGTCATAGAGCACCTGCTTTGCAAGAGTGAAACAAAAAAATAAGATCCGTTAGGAGTGTCACAGATAATAATACCCTTGGCATTATTGACATTGTACTGCATGGTACTGTCCTTTACATTATCCTATCCTGCTTAACAACATCCCTCTCTATACACTACATGCCAGTGGCAACCGCCATCTGCTCATGGTAATCTAAAATGTTTTTAGACATTTTAAATGTCACAGGGAGGTAAAACCACCCCCAACTGAGAAGCAGTGGAGTCTGATAATACAGGTAACAAATTATAGTGTCATGATTCAGGGTGGTAGCAATGAAATAAGTTGTGACAAGTAGTTGGTTTCTGGATATATTTTGCTGGTAGAGTCAGCCAAGCTTTGCAGTCAGATTCAGAGAGATACTTAGAGAATTAGAAGACTCTGTGTTTCTTGGCTTAAGCAATTGAAAGACAAAGTTATATCAGCTTATTGGAGAAAGCTGCAAGAGGACCAAAAGGAGAGGTGGACATCACGAAGTCAGTTATCAGACCTGTTTTGGTTTTTGTAGATATGGGGGTTTGAACTCAGGGCCTCACACTTGCTAGGCAGCTTCTCTACCACTTGAGCTACTCGCATTCCCTTTTTGTTTTAGTTATTTTTTCAGGTAGGGTCTCTTGTTTTTTGCCCAGGTTTGCCTGGACAACAGTTCTACTTACGGCTCCCTGGGATGACAGGTGCACACCACCATGCCTGGCTTATTGATTGAGATGGAGTCTTGCTAAATTTTTGTTCTGGCTGGCCTGGAATCGCAGTCCTCTCATCTCTGCCTCCCGAGTATCTGGGATCACAGGCACTGCACCTGGTGCAGTTATCACACTTAGGTTCAGTGTAAGTTCAGGAGTGATATCTGGGCTGGAGATATATATTTGGGAACTCACAGCATGTTGATATTAAGAGCTATGTACAGAGAGAGCTCTATACATAGAGTATGGAAAGACAGTGGTTAACAGGCATGGGTTACATACCTGTAATCCTAACACTGAAGAGGCTAGGCAGAGCCAGGCGTGTTGAAACATGCCTGTAATTCCAGTTACTTGGGAGGCAGAGGCAGGAGAATCACAAGTTCCAGGCTAGCCTGGGCAAAGTTAGCAAGACCCTATCTTTAAAAAAAAAGAAAAAAAAAATTAAATTGCTGGGGACATAGCTCAAGTGGTAGAGTACTTTTTGCTGCAGTGTAAGGTCCTGAGTACTGCAGCAAAAAAAAGGGTTCAATGAATGAATATCTATAAAAGATTAAGTGCTTATCTTATTTTGAAGAGTTGGGGACCATTATTTTTAACTTTTTAGATGTGAGAAAAAGAAATAGTATACTCTCTGGTGTTATCCTGAGTAAAACAAACAAACAAAAAATTTAGATACATTTTCTGAACCCACATAAATTCTGAGGAGGTAGGCACATCTACTAATGGTAATGTAAAGAAGAGGAAGGGCGCAGGTTATAAAAAAAAATTAGTGCTTGGTATTAGAATGCTTGAAGAAAAATTTGTTTTGCATACTATACTTGATTTGTTTTATTATTTACTTTGCAGTACCAGTGTTTGAACTCAGGGCCACGCCATTAGCCCTATTTTTGTGATGGGTTTTTTCAAAACAGTGTCTTTCGAACTGTTTACCTTGGCTGGCTTTGATCCTGATCTCTGCCTCCTGAGTAGCTAGGATTACAGGGTGAGCCACAGGTGCCCAGCTTGTATTTGATTAAACTAAATTAATTTTATTAACTAAACTTAAATAAGGGTTCTGTGTCCACATTTCTGCAGGTAGCAGGAAAAAAAATACCATATTTTTTTTCCTTTTTATTTATATGGTTTGTATATATTGCAGTTTAAGTAGTCTCCTACAAGTGGACATTTAATTTCATTCCTTCCAAAAATTATCTGCCACATAGCAGACATTGTACTAGGCTCTAGTTATATAGCTATGAACAAAGCAGACTAGTTCTTACGGTACAGTCTAATGTAGGGAAAGACAGTAAACTAAAACCCAATCAAAACAGGATATCTGTTTCATTGTTTTTTTTTCTATAGTGAGCATTCTTGAATATGTCTTATCATATTCCTTTCCCAAAACTAAGCTTAGCCTCTCTTTAAAAATAGCCAATAGCCAGATGTTGGATCAAAGTTCAAGGCCAGCTCTGGCAAATAGTTCACAAAACCGCATCTCCAAAATAACTAGAGCAAAATGGACTGGAGGTATGGATCAAGGTAGAGTGCCTGCTTTCAAGCATGAAGTCCTGAGTTCAAACCCCAGTCCTACAAAAAAAAAATAAATAAATAAAATAAAAGCCAACAGTGTGAATCTACAATGATTTTGGTTTGTTTATAGTACTGGGAATTGAACCCAGAGCTCCGGCCCATGCTAGACAAATAAATAGTCTACTACTGACTGAGCTACCCCTCCAGCCCTTGAATGGTTTTAAGATAAAAAGTTTAAAAAACAAAACCACATATTCACCTAGCACTCGAGGATAAGGCAGGGAGATTGCTAGTTCAAGCCTAGCCTAAACTACGTAATGAGATCATGTCTCAAAAAACAAACAGTAACAAATAAAGGTAGTGCTTTTCCATTAAATCAGTTAATGAAAAAATTGTAATTAAAATCAAGTCAAATCAGCCTGTCCTATGATATGGGTAAAGGGACTAGGATCAGTCTGGACTTTCTCTCCCTTGCTGCCTGAGCTCTTTTACTCCTGGGCCAGCTTCTACTAGATCAATACTTAGTTTCAGGTAATCAAGCCCCTCTTCTTCATCTGAACTGGCCCCGCTTAATTGTCACCTGGTTCTCCCAAGATGAATTTCTGCTTAGCTCTTAAACTCCTACAACAGTTCTCTCAATTGAATTCATGAGAATGAAGCACTAATGCCTGAAGGTATCCTTTGCATCTACTGAATTGAATTATGTCTTCATGTATCCAGAATGTTAACAGTTGTATACATTCTTGGGAGAATTGAGAAAATATATAACCATCTATAGTTTAATTCCCTTGTAGAACTCTAGCTTGGAAAGTCTGTCCTAGAAAGTAAGCTCTAGGCACACAGGGACTTACTTGATGTCCATTAGTCTTAGCCCACACTTAGAGCAACATCTGGCACAAAGCACAGATCTTTGTTGGATGAATCATGAAGTCCCTTCTGTGTACTCCTCCTTTTCTATCTCTATTCACTTTTCATATTGCTCACAGTTCACTTTTTTGGAGACAGGATCTTGCTATGTAGTCTAGGTTGGCTGAATACTCCCAGTCCTCCTGCCTCACACTACTAAGTGCTGGATTACAGGTGTGTACCGCCATGCCCGATTTACTGTTCACTTTTTCAGTATAAATCTAGTCATACTCTCCTGACTAAAAACCATCAGGGTGCCTCCTGCTATCAGGGTCTAGACTCCTTATCATGGCATACTGACCACCACAGTCTTTTCCCTTCTGCCTCTGTTGTCATCTCCTCTCTTTCTGTGTACAACCCACATGTTCAGCTAAATAAAACATTTGGTTATTTATCACATGGACCCCTTGCTTCATATCTGGTATGCTTTTCCTGGGCCCGAGCTCATTGAGCCAACTCTTTCTTATCCTCAAGACTCTACCTAAAAATACCTTATAGAACAGTTCTCTGATACTCTCTCCATCCCTTCCTCTAGCCTGGTTTTAGTACCTAATGTCTGGATTCCAAGAAATAGCCCTAGCTCTAGGTAAACTAGAATGGTTGGTCACCCTAGAAAAGAGCAGTTATAGGGTAGGCATAATCCTCAGGCACAAATGAACTAGGCTACCTAAAAGGAGAGAATCTTTCTTCCCACTGCCCTCTCCTCATGTCTCTATTTTGGTGGTGTCCAAATTGGTCTTTTCCTATGCAAGTGAGCCTGTGTTCTATGCATTATTACTCTTATAATAGGTTCTTTTGTACATTTTTCACATGTCTGGTCAGAAACTAGTGGCTTTTCATAGGATTCACAAATAAAGCCTAAACTTCTCCTAATCCTGACATCAAAGTCCCTATAAGGCAGGATGGTTTAATAGTTAAGTATGTATTCTCTAGAACCAGACTGTCCTGAGTCTAACTCTGGCTCTTCCTTTTATTAGCTGATGACATTAGATAAGCTCTTTTACCTGGCAGTGCCTTCCTCCCCTCATCTGCAAAGTGGAGTTAATATTACCTCTTCATTGGGCTGCTGTGAGCATGAAGTAAGTTGATGCAGATAAAGCATTTAAAACAGTGCGCTATAAATGTTGCTTGCTCCTCCAAACCAGTGTTTAACCTTATCTGTCTTCCACTCTCTCCAGCTAAAAGGGCTGGTTGGTTTCACACCCATACCATATGCATGCTTCAGTTTTTCCTCCTAAGAGTGTTGGTTTCTCTCTGCTTATTAGAGTCCTACCCAAAAGTTAGCTGAAGTCCAGCATCCGTTTAGCTTTTACTTCAGAGGTTGTTTTCACTTTTATGTCATGTCCCACTTTGATCTGTGCTGTTTGCTGGCACATAGTCTGAGAGTCCCAGCTTTTGGCACAGAGGTACTCAGTTAATGCTCGTTGATGATGATGATGTTGAGAATTAAAGCTAGCAGACCTAAAAAGGGGAGTTCATAGGGTATTTGGGCTTTTGCGTATTAAGTGTCTCTTTTTCCCAACAGAGGTCCCCCTTGTTGGATGTGAAGGGGAATATAGAGTTGAAGAAACCTCTGCTCAGGGCTTCTTCCCGACTTCCTCTCCCAGGAAGCAGGCTCAAGAGGGGGCCTGACCAGATGGAGAATGTCTTAGAGCCTGCAAAGGTGAGCTGAGAATGGAAGCTGTGTGTGTGTGTGTGTGTGTGTGTGAGAGAGAGAGAGAGAGAGAGAGAGAGAGAGAGAGAGAGAGAGAGAGAGAAGAGAGAGAAGAGGGAAGGTGACTTCAATCCTATCCTTACTTATTCCCAGAAACGGACACGAGGCCTGGGTGCAGCGACCAAAACTGACACATTCCGCTCCAGAGCACTGGCACCACCCCTCTCCACAGTGCCACAGACACAAGGCCAGACTGCAGGTGGGCTCTATGGGTAAATAGGGACCGAGGGCATGGAAGTGCAGTGCTTTTCTCCTCATTTTCTTTTCGTTCAATTTAAGTCTATTTTGAATAGGTAATAACATTTTACTAGCTTCAAAATTCCAGAGGTACAAAAGTTGTTATATAATGGAAAGTTGTCTTCCCACCTTGTCCCCTAGCTACCTAGCTGTCCTTCTCAGGGGCAACTGTGTCGTCCAGGGAAAGTCTGTGGGTATTCCAGTAACTGTGGATATCATCTAGCGTACTTCACACATGACTCTACCCCCGCTCTTTGTATTTACCTCCACCCAACTTGCTTTTTGGCATAGGTAGTGAGTAATTTCCTGGTCCTAGGAGGGATATCATTAGAAGCCAGCCAGACTTAAGAGGACAAGGGACATTATCTTATTTCCAGTGCTTATAAAAAGCACCTTTGCTGTTCTTAGCTCAGCCAGTACTTGCCACCTGATTGAGTGTTCTACTTTTTCCTCTCTTCCATCTGGACAGCTCAAAAAGTTCCCAGGAAGACAGGACCTCGTTGTTCTACAGCTATTGCTACAGGTAATAGTGACTAAGAGCTGGGGCCGAAAAGGGATTTGGGGTATGTATAAAGGGAGAGTGGTGATAGAGGGACACCGATTCTATAATTCTTACATCAGCTACCCACTTCTCTAGTGTTGAGGAACCAGAAGCCAGTTCCTGCTATTCCTTCCCAGAAGCCTGGCAGTAGGTGACAAACATAACTATTGGGTGAGAGGCTGGGATAGGGAAGAGGAGGCGGTGAGTGCCCAGAAAAACCCATTTTGTCTTTTCTGTTTAGAGGGGAAGGAGATAAATGTGGTATCAGGTGCAGAGACCCTGAAGGCCAGAAGGGAGGAATAATACAGAGCTGAGACTTCACTGACCTTTGTCCTTTCTGTACCCATGTTAGCATCAGCTGCTCCTCCCGTGGTGGGAGGGAAGAAACCTGGCAAACGGCCTGCTTGGGACTTAAAGGGTCAGTTATGTGACCTAAATGCAGAGCTGAAACGCTATCGTGAGAAGATTCAAACATTGGACCAGGAGAACCAGCAGCTGCGGGACCAGCTCAAAGAGGCCCAACAACAGGCTAAGACCCTGGGAATGGAGCGCAGCACCTTGGAAGGGGAGTTGGCTAGGGTACAGGCCCAGGCTGAGCAGGGCCAACAAGAGCTGGGAAGTCTGAGCACTCGTGTCCTGGAACTGGAAGAGCGGCTGGGCACTCAGGAGGGATTGGTGCAAGAGCTCCAGAAAGAACAGCTAGAATTGCAAGAGGAGCGGAGGGCACTGGCCACCCGGCTGAAGGAGCAGGAGGTAGGGATCAAATTCTCACAAGGGCCAGCACCACCTTTTCTTACACAGGTCATGCTCCCCCATCTTCCAGGTTCCCCTGAAATCACTTTGGGCTTAGAACCTATCTCCAGTAACATGCCTGTGTCCTCCAGCTGGCTCCATTCCAGCCACTGCTGACTTTGTCTCACCTGCCCAACCTCTCTTTATGCTTCCTTTGTGTTCAAAGCTCCCACTAGGGTCTGTTCTTCCCCTTATCCTCCATTCCTGTTTTTCTTCAGGTCCCTATCCTGATTATAAATCCCTGAGGTATTCTTTCTCCCTCTCCCATGTCCATGGAGTCTCTCAAATGATTTAATTCTGGTTTCTGGCACTTTGTATATACACTTCCCTTTTTCAGAGTAGGTTTTCTGTACTCCATCCTTCTCTTAGTTCACTCCTGTTTTTTTGGGTGTCAGCCTAGATACCTTTTACTTATGCCTCCCCTAAATATTCCTGTATCAGTGCTCCCTATCTTAGTACCATGATTCCCTATTTTTTCTTTGTGGCTATATTGGGGTTTGAGTAGAGCCTTGTACTACTCAAGTGCTTTGACACTTGAGGTATGCCTCTAGCCTTTTTTGCCATAGATTATTTTTTTAGACAGGGTCTTGTGTTTTTGTCCAGGGCCAGCCTGGACTCCAGTCTTCCTACTTATGGTGTTCCATGTAGCTGGGACCACAGGCACGTGATCATCACTGCTTGGCTTATTTATTGAGATGGGGTCTCACTGACCTTTCCTCCCAACCCCCCTCAACCCTGACTGGCCTTAAGCCATGATCCTCCTGATCTCCACCTTCCGTAGCTGGAATTACAGATGTGAACCACCATGCCCACCCCATTCTTACCAGACTATGAGGTCCATGGGGCCAGGGAACCCACCTCCACCGCCTGCCCCATTTTGGCCACATGACTTATTCTTGGTTGCATTTCACGCTCTGTGTTTATTCTGTTCTGGACAGAGGAGGCTGCAGGCATCAGAAACAGCTCTGTCAAGCAGCCAAGCAGAGGTGGCATCTCTGCAGCAGGAGACTGCAGCCCAGGCGACCTTACTGGTTGAACGAGGAGACAGACTCCATGGGCTAGAGATGGAGAGAAGACGACTTCACAACCAGCTGCAGGAACTCAAGGGCAACATCAGGGTATTCTGCCGAGTCCGCCCTGTCCTTGCAGGGGAGCCCCCTCCATCCTCTGGCTTTCTTGTGTTTCCCCCTGGCCCTGCTGGGCTCTCTGATCCTCCAACTCGCCTTACTCTCTCTCGGTCTGATGATCGGCGTGGGACCCTGAGTGGGGCACCTGCCCCCACTACCCGCCATGATTTCTCCTTTGACCGTGTGTTTCCACCAGGAAGTAGGCAGGATGAAGTATTTGAAGAGATCTCCATGCTTGTCCAGTCAGCCCTGGATGGCTATCCAGTGTGCATCTTTGCCTATGGCCAGACAGGCAGTGGCAAGACCTTCACAATGGAGGGTGGGCCTGGGGGAGACCCCCAGTTGGAGGGTCTGATCCCTCGGGCCTTGCGGCACCTTTTCTCCGTGGCCCAGGAGCTAAGTGGCCAGGGCTGGACCTACAGTTTTGTGGCAAGCTATGTAGAGATCTACAATGAGACTGTCCGAGACCTGCTGGCCACTGGGACTCGGAAGGGACAAGGGGGCGAGTGTGAGATTCGCCGGGCAGGACCAGGAAGTGAGGAGCTTACTGTCACCAATGCCCGATATGTTCCTGTCTCCTGTGAGAAAGAGGTGAGGACCCATGGGGATTGGAATTGAGTGGGCAGGGTGCCACATAGGGAGATGGAGAAAGGAGGAACTTGGAGGGTAAGTTGTAAGGATGGGTTATCACAACAGAACCAGGAGTGGTGTGATGCATCTACCAGGTGCACCCTGCCAGGTGGATCTCAGATCTTGTTTCCTGTTACACACCTTGCTCAGTTCACCCTAACTATGCTAGCCTGCTGGCTGTTCCTCAACCCACTAGTCACACTCCTGTCTCATGGCTTTGCCCAAACACTCCTCCCTTGGAGATGTTATGGCAGTGAGGCCATCAAGGCTGTCCTGTCTAAACTTCTACACACCCCACACTGTCACACCCTTCCTAGTCCTCTGTGATTTTACTTCTCTGCATTCAGATATATTGTGTATTTCACTTCACTCATTAGAAAGAAAGTTCTAAGAGATCAGGGGCTGACTCTCAATCAATGCTTGCTATACCTGATATCATCATGTTCTGACTTCCTGTCTGCCTTTGCCCCTTCTTGCTCCTCATTTCCAGGTGGAGGCCCTGCTCCATTTGGCCCACCAGAATAGGGCTGTGGCTCGTACTGCACAGAATGAACGATCATCACGCAGCCACAGTGTGTTCCAGCTGCAGATCTCTGGGGAGCATGCTGCTCGAGGATTGCAGTGTGGAGCTCCCCTCAACCTTGTGGACCTAGCTGGGAGCGAGCGGCTAGACTCCGGCTTAGCTCTTGGCCCTGGGGAGCGAGATCGCCTTCGAGAAACACAGGCCATTAACAGCAGCCTGTCCACCCTGGGACTGGTCATTATGGCCCTGAGCAATAAGGTGGGAAAGGGATCATGAGCAGATGAGACTAGGGGGTTGGTTAAGATGGGCTATGCAGAACTCTGACCTATTCTAAGTTCCTGCCTCCCCCCTCAACCTTCCAGGAGTCTCATGTACCTTACCGGAACAGCAAACTCACCTACCTGCTACAGAACTCGCTGGGTGGCAGTGCTAAGATGTGAGTGACAGGGACAGATGGATGGGATCTGCTGGGAATTACGATGTTGAGATGAGGAGTGCAAAGGGACAACAGTGGGGTCTTCCTCGCTTTTGCTGAACACTAATGCTGGGTTGGACCTCTTCTCTTTCCCCAGGCTCATGTTTGTGAACATTTCCCCCCTGGAAGAGAACGTCTCTGAGTCCCTCAACTCTCTACGCTTTGCCTCCAAGGTGCAATTACCACCAAACGCAGGCCCTGTCAGGACCCCTGGCTTGTTATAGGTGTCCCCATCCCAATTCTTGTCCTCTGGGGGCGGATTTATGCTTTTAGACATCTGGGGTCCTACCCACCTAATTCCATCTTTAACTACTGGTTTTTGAGTTAAGTTTTTTAGAACAGCTGACTAAAGTGGTCAAAACTGTATTGCAAAAAATAAGCTATATACATGTTCTTATTCCCTTTCTTCGTATATGTGTAGCTCTGTACCTTGTTTTTTTAACTTAACAAAGCAACCCCAAAATTATTCCCCATCAGCACGCAGGGATTGTCACATTATTTTTAGGTCTGTGTAGGAGACTACTGTGTGGATTCACCACCAGTTCCCTTTTCTGGACACTTGGATTGTTTCTGCCCTTTTTCTATTACACACAAGGCCATATTGACTAACCTTGTACACATATCATTTTATGTTTTTTCAGTTATATATAACTATCTAGGGAAATAGTTCTTGAAGTGGAATTGCTGGAAAAAGAGACTTACAGGATTTTTCAAAACATTTCAAATAGTGTGAATTCAGTCTCCACATTCCATAAGGATCAGCCCATGTCCATGAATTCTCAGGGAGACTTAGTGTTCCTTCCACTAGAGTTAAGCAAGTCAGAAAGCTTCCTTATTGTCGCCTGGGAAATGGAGGGTAAAACTTTTTTTTTTTCCTGGTTTACTCTTCCTGAGGTTAGAGCCCTTCAGTGGGTTCTGACTTTATTCATGTCTGAGCAATTCATCCCTTTTGCCAAGCAGAATAGCTAGCTGCCTCAGCATGTATACCCTACTCTGGGTCATCCACTTAGATCAGGTTTACTCCTGCTATCTGGCGAATTCAATTAAAAGGGTGATGGTGTTTTTTTCTAATTATTTTTATTTTGGGTTGAGGGTTGAACCCAGGGCTTCATGCGTGCAAAGTACAGGCTCCACCACTGAGGTGCATCACCATCCTAACTTTCTTAATTGATGTTATATCAACATGAACACCCAACACAAACTTTTTAATATCCTCTAATACTCCACTTGAAGTTTCACCAGTTGTCTCACAAGTATCTTATACCTAAGACTTGTCCAAATAAGGATTCAAGCAAGGGATGATCATATCATTTAGTTGAAATATACCCCCCCCCAACTTTTTATATCATTTATCTGTTGAAGAAGTTGGGTCATTTCTCCTATTGAACATACCATTATCTGGATTTTGGCTGGTTGCTTTCTCCTCTCTTCTCTTCATACATTCTACTCTCTGATAGTTGGATTTAAAGGTTTGATTATATTTGAATTTATAGTTCAAATTTCTTGGCAGACTTAACATGACATAGAACATTTATTTTATTGTGTTATATCAAAAAGCACCTATAATCTAGTTCTTTTTACCAGTATTGAGCACTAGATTTGGGTTTGTTTTCTTTTTTTCAGCCAGATCCATCCATTTTAAAATTCCTCATTGACTTTTTCATCTAGTGGTTTAATCAGTGGTCAGATCTAGATGCATTATTTCGTTAGCTTTTAAATGGTGATTTTTCTTATCTTAGTTCTGTATTTATTAGTCATGATTCTTCTAGGAAAAATTTTCCTTTGCCATTTACAAGCATACCTCAAAGATATTCGGAGTTTCATTTCAGATTACAATAAAGCAAGTCACATTTTTGGGGGGTTTCCCGGTGCTTATAAAAGTTATGTTTTGGGCTGGAGGCATGGTTCAAGCAGTGGAGCACCTGCATGCAAACACAAAGTCCTGAGTTCAAACCCCAGTACTGGGAAAAAAAATCCAAAAAACATTTATAATGTAGTCTGTTAAGCAATATGTATATATAAATCTTAATTAAAAGATACTTTATTGCCAGTGGTTCACACCTGTAATCCTAGCTACTCAGGAGGCAGAGAGCAAGAGGATTGAGGTTCCAAGTCAGCCCAGGCAAATAGTTCAAGACCCTATCTTGAAAAAACTCATCACAAAAAAGGGCTGGTGGAGTGACTCAAGGTGTATGCCCTGCATTCAAACCCCAGTACTATTAAAAAAAAAAAAAAAGGAAAAAGATATTTTATTGCTAAGTAAAGATAATGGTCATATGAACCATTGGAAAAATGTGCCCATAGACTTGTTCCATTCAGGGTTGCCACAAGCTTTCAATTTATTAAAAAAAAAAATTTACCTGCAAAGTGCAATAAAATGAGAGATGCCTGTATTTGGTTACTCTGAAATAAGTTTGTGTAGGAAAGAGAAGATAGATGCTGACTTTTTTTTTTTCCTTTTTTTGGTGGTACTGGAGTTTGAACTCCAGGCCTCATGCTTACGAGGCAGGTGCTCTACCACATGAACCATTCTGCTAGCCATTTGCATGTTGCTTCAAATCACGATCCTCCTGACCTTTGCCTCCCAAGTAGCTAGTATTACAGGTGTGAGTCAATGGTGCCTGGCTATGAATTCTTTTTTTTGTATTTAGTTTATATCATAGCAGCTTCAAAGGTGACCACTGAGTTCTTATTGGGGGAGGGTAATCATTTTACAGATGCTTATGTATTTGATGTCTATTAGTCCTTTGCAGTTACTTTTTTTTTTAAGACCTTGGATTTATTGTGTATTTGGTGGTAACTAGGATTTGAACTCGGGGCCTGTGCTTTGCTAGGCAAGTTCTCTGCCATTTTAGCCAAACCCTCAACCCTTGCAGTTATTATTTTGATACTCAAATTGTTCAATCTTTGGCCAATATGAGCTCCTTTAAGTTGGCTTCTGCTTATTTATTTATATATTTAATTTGGGTCATGCATGTTAGGTCATGCAAATCCAGGGCCTTGCATGTTAGGTGAGCTCTCTACCACTGAGCCACATCCCCAGCCCTCCTCCGAAACACTGCAGGACCCTAGTAGTGTTTTAGATTGACTATACATTTCTTCCACGTTTGGGGTGATCCATTTTCTAAGGAGCCATAGTTTCTAAATGAGTTTGTTAATATTTTGTCTAGGATAAGGGAGTTTTGGGCTCTTGTCCAGGGTTTTGCTGTTAGACAAACTTTTTGGGAACATTGTTCTGGTTACTCTGCAAACATTTTCAAGTGTAACCCCTTTGCCCCCAGGTGAACCAGTGTGTCATTGGTACGGCCCAGGCCAACAAGAAATGAAGATGGATCCAGATTTTGTGTGTGTGTGTGTGTGTGTGTGTGTGTGTGTGTGTGTGAGAGAGAGAGAGAGAGAGACGCGTTGGGGGGGGTAATAGGTATGGGGGGGTCTGCGGGATTCTTTATTGGGCTGAGAGCGTTATGTATCCAGGCTTATCAAATAAAGAACATTTGTTTCTTTTTAAATAAAGATTTTTATTAGCAGCTGCCAGAGAAAGGTATACTTTATATCTGTAAAGATGGGAGCTGTGGATTTGTCCACATGTGCTTGCTCTTCCGGGCTCCAAATTCACAACAGGGACCGCGGCCCATAGTTACCCACAACTCCTCCACAGTCACCAGTTAAGTTTCTCTTCAATACTGGCCACCCAGTGCCGGGCAGGAACCCTCCCAGGGCGGAGGTTGGAAAGGGGGAATCGGAGTCCAGGGGCGGGGCCAATTCGCTTCCACAAACTGCGGGCCTTTCCTCCCGCTCTTTCCCTGCCTTTCCGTTCGAACTGCCCGGGCTGTTCCCGCCCGCTGCCCATTGGCTGTCTATCGGCGGCGTCACCGCCTCGGCTACTAGCCCTCAATGTCCTTCCACGGCCCTGGAATCACTGGGCGGGACGATCGCCAGCAGATTCCCTCGCCCCTTCCGCGGTCGGCCACCGCCCGGTGAAGGAGGAGCTCAGTCTTCCCAGGTGCCGTGCACAGGAGGGGCCACGCGTGCGCAAACGCGCAGTGTATGTGGGGGAGACAACTTGCCACGGAGAGGGCGGGGCTGGGGGCAATGGACAGGAGGAGGGTGGGGCGGGGGCAACGGGAAGGGTGAATGGAAGGCGGGGCCGTGAACTTGGGCTAGAGGGCGGGACTTGGAGTGGCCACGGGGGTGGGGCAGTTAACGGATGTGGCATGGGGCGGGGGGCCAGTCCAGAGGCTGGTTGCCGGGAGGGGGGGATTCCCTTTTGCCCCAAGGGCGAGTCTCCCATTGGAGGAAGGGGCTGCGGGGATTCCCTCTCCCTCCGGGTTCGGCTATTCGCGCCCTCAGCCGCGGAGAGGTAGCTGCTTGCGCGGCGCCCTCCAGGCCTGTTGGAGGTGAGGGAGGTGGGGTGAGGTGGTGCCCGCCCCCCCTCCGGCTCCTCCTTTCCCCCTAGTCCTCCCCTCCTATCACCCTCCCCCCCAGCCGGTCCGTCCCTCCCTCCCTCCCCCCTGCCGCCTCCTCCTGCCGCTGCCGCTGCTTTGGCTGCTGCGTCATACGCCCCAGAGCCGCCGGGACGGAGGGGCTGGGCCTGGGGACCCCCCGGCCTCCGCCTACACGCCCCCCGACGCCTGGACGTGCCCTTCCCGCTCCGAGGGCTCGCCCAGGTCTCCTACGTCTGCCCCTGCCCGGCTCCCGGCGGCCCCAGCTGTCACCGGTAAGGAGACGGCGGGAGGAACCGGTGGGGGGGGTGGTTGGGAGCCGGGGGTCGGCGCGCAGGGCGCGGGCGGGAGAGCCTCGCGGTCCTGGCCTCAGGTTCGGGCTGGGCCGACTTTAGTCCCTTCTTGGACTTGCGGTCTCGGGGAGTAGAGATTGGGACTGGGACACGCCCCCCTCCCGGGGCACTTAGGGAAGTTATCTAACCCTGGGGTAGGGAACCCCGAATTTGAGGGTGACCTGACATAACCTGACACCGGGATGATTGTTCTCAATGAGACATGCAGGCCTGTGAAGACTGCCGTTTCTACTCTGGAAAACATCTCCAGAAAAGCTCCCAAAACACATCTCTGGGTAACAGAGTACCCCAATTATGATACCACTCAACAGCTGAGGAAGGTGAAACTGAGTGGTAATCTTTGCTTCTGCAATCATCTCAAGGCCAGGACTTACATGATGGATCATCTCTGGAAGCTGGGAAACTAGAGAACTAGGTTTGGGAGTGATGTAGACAGGGGAGAGCTGGTCGTCGGTCATCAGAGTTGGCTGGAGTGCCCAGTGGTTTCCCACCCAGGTGTCTGAGGGACCTGACCAAGGGTGCAGATGCTTGGCCCTTGATCTTGACAGAAAAATAGGCAAGGAAAATGGAGAAGCTTCATTGACATTCATAACCTCTTTTCCGTTTCCTTTCTGCCTAGCCCCCCAGGATGCAATGGCGCAGCCCCCCCGGTTGAGCCGCTCTGGTGCTCCCTCTCTTTGGGACCCAGCTTCCCCTGCTCCCACCTCAGGCTCCAGACCTCGACTTTGGGAGGGTCAAGATGTGCTGGCCAGATGGACTGATGGGCTGCTCTACTTGGGCACCATCAAGAAGGTAAGACTGTACCTCTGATTTCTCACCATCTCCCTATTCCCTTATCTACTTTGGTTCCACTTCCGTGTTCTGTGCTCACCCATTCCAGGTGGACAGTGCTCGGGAGGTTTGTCTGGTCCAGTTTGAGGATGATTCCCAGTTTCTGGTTCTATGGAAAGACATTAGCCCTGGTAAGACCCTAAAGACCTGAGACTGTGCATCCTATGGACAACAGAAACCTAGGTTGGGGGGAGGGGGAAACAACAGAGCTTGAGAGCAGGCCTCCTGACACTGTTTTCTCACAGCTGCCCTCCCTGGGGAGGAACTCCTCTGTTGTGTCTGTCGCTCTGAGACTGTGGTCCCTGGGAACCGGCTGGTCAGCTGTGAGAAATGTCGCCATGGTGAGACGGCAGGACACCTGAATGGTCCAGTTTGCCCTAAGCCTTCCAGACTGCCACTAGCCCTTCCTTCTAGCACTGCTCCCTGTCTATCCTGAGTCCCCAGGCTATAGTTCTGGCCAGTCTGTCTAACCTCATCCCCTTACAGCACAGGGAGAGGCAGCCATGGAATGGAGGTAATGTAAGCTGTCCAGGCAGGTGGTAGCTTACATACATCCTTTTCTAACCAATATGACCTTGGTCAAGACCCTTAAATTGATGGGTACTAGTGACTCACTCCTGTAATCCTAGCTACTCGGGAGGCAGAGATCAAGAGGATCACAGTTCAAGGCCAGCCCAGACAAAGAGATTGCAAGACTCTACCTCAAAAATACCCATCACAAAAAAAGGGCTGGTGGAGTGGTGTGCCTTGCCTAGCAAGTACAAGGCCCTGAGTTTAAACCACAGTACCACCACAAAAAAAAAAAAAAAAAAAAAAAGGAAAACCACCCTTAAACCTCTATGAGCCTCAACAGTTTCCTTGCTGGTAAAGTCAGGTAATGCAACTACCCAGTAGGACCAAGGTCAAGGATTAAATGCATTGTGTAAAACTATTCCTGTTCCAATACTGAGTGCACACAGGTATGCAATATGTAAGTGGTCTGCTATCAACATTGTCCTTATTCAGCTTATCACCAGGACTGCCACGTTCCTAGGGCCCCAGCCCCTGGAGAAGGAGAAGGCACATCTTGGGTCTGCCGCCAGTGTGTCTTTGCAATTGCTACAAAGGTAAAGGCCCCTTGCTGTGGGAGCCTGCTATCCACAGCCTCTCCCAAAGCCTTTCCTCTCATCCCTCTGGGGCTTCCCACTTGTTCTTTCTCTGCAGAGAGGGGGTGCATTGAAGAAGGGTCCTTATGCCCGGGCCATGCTGGGCATGAAGCTCTCTCTGCCATATGGACTAAAGGGGCTGGATTGGGATGCTGGACATCTGAGCAACCGACAGCAGAGCTACTGTTACTGTGGTGGCCCTGGGGAGTGAGTAATGAGGGGTGGCAGATTATGGAATGGGTGATATGGTGGTGATGTTATGGAGGGGTGAGGGAAGCTCTGTATGGATAACAGGTAGTGATGGGGCAGTTGTAGGGAAGATGGTGTCTGGAGGCCACTATGCTATATTCCCCCTCAGGTGGAACCTGAAAATGTTGCAGTGCCGGAGCTGCTTGCAGTGGTTCCATGAGGCTTGCACTCAGTGTCTGAGCAAGCCCCTCCTCTATGGGGACAGGTGAGACCAGGGCAAGTTCTCCAGGAGTTGAGGATGTCTTCCTGCTCTTGCTCCATGCTTCGCCCTGTTCCCAACCCTTCTGCACTTGTCTTTTCCCAACCCGTTTCCTTACCTGTTCGCCCTCTTTGCTTTGAGTTCTCCAGGTCATGTGTAGATGTATACACCCAAATGAGTTGGGTTCTCTCCCCTTGCCCTCATCCAGGTTCTATGAGTTTGAGTGCTGTGTGTGCCGGGGGGGTCCTGAGAAGGTCCGGAGGCTACAGCTTCGCTGGTGAGCTGTTTGGGCATGGGCCTAGTATTTTCCCCAATGCCCCACCTCAGGACTCCCTGGTTTTTGTAATGCTTTCATAGCCTTGACAAATCCATGTTTCTCCAGGGTGGATGTGGCCCATCTTGTCCTCTATCACCTCAGTGTTTGCTGTAAGAAGAAATACTTTGACTTTGACAGAGAGATCCTCCCCTTCACTTCTGAGAATTGGGACAGTCTGCTCCTGGGGGAGGTAAGGGGCAGTGCAGTTTTGGGAATTGGGGTGAAACAAGAGATGTAAAGGAAAGTAGAAGGGAGAGAATCAATGCTGTCCTCATCCCCATTTACCTTCTCTTTCCTCAGCTTTCAGACACCCCTAAGGGAGAACGTTCTTCCAAGCTTCTCTCTGCTCTTAATAGTCACAAGGACCGGTGAGTTGGAGGATGAGGCAAGAGAGAGGGTGAGATTTGGATGTCTGGGAGGGGAGGGGCCACACCCACCTTGAAGGACCATCTCTGCACTGAAGAACTGAAAGAGGGGACCTTTTTTATAGCACCGACATTTCTCTCTTTACCCCAGTTTCATTTCAGGGAGGGAGATTAAGAAGAGGAAATGTTTGTTTGGTCTCCATGCTCGGACCCCTCCTCCTGTGGAGGCCCCTACTGGAGATGGAGCCCCCACCAGGTCACTGGTCCAGGGAGGATGGGGGAAATTCTCAGGCGTTAGTCTGGAGGGTACATAAAGATGGGGAGGTCTTGGGGTGTCCGGGAGGGGGCTGGGGGGATAAGGAGGCCTCTTACAGCTTCCCTTCAGGGCAGGGCCCTGGGGGAGGGGTCTCACGTCCCCTGGGGAAGCGCCGGAGGCCGGAGCCAGAGCCCCTGAGGAGGAGGCAGAAGGGGAAGGTGGAAGAGCTGGGGCCACCCTCAGCAGTGCGCAATCAGCCCGAGTCCAGGGAGCAGAGGGAGCGGGCTCGTCTGCAGAGGGCACTGCAGGTACAGGGGCAAGGGGAATCCTGTGGAGCAAATAGTGGGATGTGGGAAGAAATCAAGAATGACCTCTCAGTCCTCTGCTTCTTCTTCTAGGCCTCTGTGTCTCCACCACCCATCAGCCCTAACCAGAGTTACCAGGGCAGCAGCGGCTACAACTTCCGGCCCACAGATGCCCGTTGCCTGCCCAGGTCAGTGCTCCTTTGTTCCGGACCAGATGTGCTCCCAGTTATTTACATCCTCCAGATTTTATTACCTATAATTTTTTCCCCTCTCCCTTTGGCTTCCCATTTGTCCTAGGGATTTCTAGAGTCAATCTAGTACCCAGTATTCTGGGGATGGGGAGGCCCTGGGGTAGTGTGAGTAGTGTTTTAAGTTCTGCCCTTCCAGGGGGAGAGGATTTGTTTTCTACTTCAGGTCCTCACTTTCATCCTCCCCAACCCCAGCAGCCCCATCCGGATGTTTGCTTCCTTCCACCCTTCTGCCAGCACCGCAGGGACCTCTGGGGATAGTGAACCCCCAGATAGGTGAGTCTATCCCTATTACCAGTGACTCCCCTCCTCCCTTCTATGTTCTCAAGTTCCTTATCTCAAACCATTTCTTTGGTCCTCTGATGTACATGTGGCCCCCATTTCTGATTGGTCTTTATCCACATCTGTCTGTCTGGTCTTACAATTTCCTTCTCTTTCTAGGTCGCCCCTGGAACTTCACATTGGCTTCCCCCCAGACATCCCTAAAAGTGCTCCCCACTCGATGATTGCCTCATCTTCCTCAGTCCCAGCCCCCTCCCCAGGTCTTCCTAGACGTTCAGCGCCCCCTTCTCCCCTGTGCCGTAGTCTGTCTCCTGGGACTGGGGGAGGAATCCGAGGAGGGGTTGGCTACCTGTCCAGAGGGGACCCAGTCCGGGTCCTTGCTCGAAGAGTACGGCCTGATGGCTCTGTGCAGTATCTGGTTGAGTGGGGAGGAGGGGGCATCTTCTGAACAGCCTGCTTCTGCCAACCTCCCCATTCACACACAGCGGCACTTTCATACCCTGACCTCTGACCTCACCTACAGCTGGGATGTACCTGGAGAGATAGGGAGTAGTTCTCCCTGCTGCCCAGGCTGGAATCCAGAGGGGGGTGGGAAAAAGATTCTCTCTTTCCCACCCTCCTTCATGATTCCTGACCCCTCATCCTTCCCATTTCTTTTGATGTTATTTTGTTACAGCTTTTTAAATATTTTTTAAAATTATTTAACCCCTGGGTGCAAAGACTGAGGAGGGGGGAGGATAAGGGATCTTGGACTCTGTATGACTGAAATAAAGAGAAATAAACAAACCTAGTAGCCATGAGTCATTTTGAAAGATGGAAAGAACACAGGGACTAGAAGGATTTCTAATCTTCCCCAAATTACGTATATGTGACGGAAAAAAGGCAAAAGGCAGAGAGAATCAAAGAGGATTTATTGGGGGCCAAGTCATCATCTGGAAGTCAGAGGGCATTGAAGTGTCAGAGGATCATGGCAGGGACAGGGATCATCATGGTAGGGCTGTGCCGGAATCAGAAACTGACTCTGTAACCTGGCGCACCCAGCGTAGGTATGGGGAGTTCCCCTGCTCCACAGGCAATGCAATCACCTCAGCCACTTCATAAGGGTGCACAGACCTACAGATGTGATGGGGAGAGGGATTACTCAAATACTTACCTAAAGGAGTCCACCTCCTAGACTGCAAGTTCCATCCCAAGATACATACCCTCATCCCTATCCATCTCAAAAGTTCTTACCGAACAAAATCTGTCAAAGCTGGGACCAAGGAACTTTGGGTTTTAATCATCTAAGGCGCAAAGGTAGACAAGGATCAATCAAGGGGTGGGATTGATCTGAGATGAACAATAGGGGTCAAAGGAGTCAGGAAGTTTTGTTGCATGGGGGAATGTTTCTCACCATTAGCACCTCACTGTCTTCCTCGATTTTTCCTTTCCACTCATAGCTGAAGGTCACAGGAAAAGAAGGGGAGAAAGTCTTGGGAAGGAAAGAAATTCCTCCAAGAAAAAGGTTCCCAGCCAACACCCCAAGTTAGGTTAACCCTGCAATTCTTACGACTCACATGGATGTGATCTGAGGGATGAGATTGACGCAGGCCGCTAGGCGCTTCTCCACCACAGCCCTGGAGGTGAAGACCCCATTCAGAGTCCCTGGTGACCGAAGCCCAGAGACAGGCTTCCAAAGGCCGGCAGTAGCAAGTAGCGCTTTTCTCCCCCTCTCCCAACTCTCCCTTCACGATCATCTTTCCGTGGTCCCCACCTGGCGATCTCTTTGGCGACTTTCTCGTTGGGGCAAGTGACAAAGGCTGCAGAAACCGATCCCGGAACGTAGCCGGAGCCCGAGGCGGGAGAGGGCTGAGACGGGGGGCTTCCAGAGGCCATGGACAGCAGGGCTCGGGGAAGCAACAGAACGCGGGAGGCCACAGGCAGCAGCGCCGGCATCCAAAGAAACGACAGGAGCAGAGTGGCCTGAGAGCAGGGGACGAATCTAGTCTCTTCCCACAAATACCCCAGGAAAGTGCCACCTCCTCAAGCCTTCGCTTGGCTACATACAGGCTGTCCTCCCTCTTCTGCACTCCCAAGCAAAATGTCCCTGAACCTTGGAGAGAAACTCGGAAACTTAGGGCCAAGCCTCAGTTTTCACTCACACCTCGGGGGTTTTGGATGTGGGCAGTGGTCTCGACTTAGAAGACCGGAAGGGGCGGGGTCGGGCACTCACCCCTCCGCCGAGCAGGACTGCGGGCGCCCGCCCCCCCCTCATGCAGCCTCTGCTGGTAGAGGAGGGTTGCTAGCAAAGGCCACACGTTACACGGTGAAAGGACCACGCACCCAGGAAGAGCACGTTCTTCTTACCTGGGCGCAGCCACGTTGTAAGAAAACAGCGCACACCACGTGACAGTGGAAGCAAGACTGCCGGAGTCTCCAGAGCCAGCCAATCCTAGTCCTCAAGTGGCCCGAAATGTCCCGCCTCCTGATGAGGGAGGAGCGAATGGTTCTCTGGCCAATCGGTAGCCGGATCTGCGGAAATGGCACGCCCGTTTAGGTGAAACACAAAACTGCCAGTTCCTGGCTGAGGAGAGCCGCTGCGGCTGTCCACTGTCACGTGAAGGGGCCGGTCTTCTTAGGCGGCGCAGCCTCAGGGAGTGACCCGAAGAGGCCAATCACGGCCAGCCCCATGGGTCACGTGACGAGAGAGCTGGCGCTAGGAAAGGGGGCTGGAGACCCCGCAGACTCGATGCGTCAGGATGTGGAGTGTGGAATCATCCTAAGCCCCAGAGTGTGCCTAGTTGTTACTGAGTTGTTACCCTATGCACCGTGTCAGAGGCCTTTTAGGAGCGGGAGGGTCTGAAAAGGCAGCCTCAGGGTTGCAGAGAGCGCCTCCTGCTCTTTAAGTTAGAACTGAGCTGCGCCTTGTTTTGGGAATGAACAAGGATGATCTGAGAAGCCAGCAGTCCCTGGGTAGAGGCCAGTGATTGGCAGGCAGGCATAGGCATGGCATGACAATGGCTAAGTGAGGAAAGACGCATTTTTAAAGGACTGGGCACGACCCTGTAAATGGGATGGAGGATGACAGAAAAGTTTTAACTAAAAACTCAAAGCTTGGGATAGACTGGCGAATCGGAGAAAAAGACGAGGATTGTAGATTGGGGATAGGAGTGATGTGATGGCCCTTCTGTCCCTTCTCCCCTGTCTATTCCACTCTCCAGGATTGGCCCACCTCTCAGCCTTGGGTCTCCTTTCCTTAACCCATCCCCCAAGGAGCCAGGACCTGCCCTACATAACTTCCCAGGGGCCCAAGCACACCCAGTGACCCAAAAATGCAGAGAGGGGCCAATGACAGGCCAGAGAAGTGGGAGGAGACAACAGAGAAAAATGCTCTGCTCCCCAATATGCCCTCTCCCTCCAAAGTCTAGGGTTACTAGTGTGGTGGGTGTGACTGGGACTTGATGTCAGGGTTCTCTCATTTACCTTTCTGGAGTGTGTGTGTGTATGGGGGGGTGTCTTCCTGAGCTTTCCGGATTTGGAATTGGTGAGAGATCTCTGTGGGGTCTTTCAGTTTTTGTGTTGGGCTCTTTTCTGGGACTAAGTTTCTGTATATGAGGTTTTAGGGGTTCCTGTGTTTTAGGGTCCAGTGGTTCCTCTCTCTGAGGTCTTCCCAGTTTTACGAGTTTTAGGTCTCTGAATCCTGCATCTCTGGATTAGCTGTCTCTCCCCCCAGTCCCCAAGTCTGAAGTTTCTAGGTCTCTGTGTTCTCAGTCTCTGACTCTGCAGTTTCTTTTCTCTGAGGTCTGAATCTGGGGTCTCTCATATCTCTCGCTGGGTCTGAGTTTAAAATCTAATTTTGAGTCGGAATCTTTCTAATCTGGGTTTCATCTTTTTCTTTTGAGTTTATGTCTCAGGTCTTGGTCCCTAAATAGCACCATCCCAGGGTCTGAAGTCTAAGAATTTTGTAGCTCTGAGACTCTTTTTCAGACTGGGTTCTCAGATTTTGATCCTTGATTCTTTTTGGGTGATTCTTTTTGGGCGGGGGTGGGGTGGGGTGGAGGGGGGCCGGTAATGTACTGAGGGTTTTTTTTTTTTTTTAGATAAAGGGTCTCTTTTCCTCAGGATTTTTAGTCTGTATTTCAGATTAAACTGCTGTGTATGGAAGGAAGGTGAGGTACTTTCTGTCTGGGTCTGGGGTCTGTAGGTCTCCGGTTCTGGGGTCTACATCTTCAGGACTGCTCGCCCTCTAGTGTGTTTGGGTCAGGGGTCTCTTTCACTGTCTCTCTCTTTGGGTCTCCCTGAGTAGGGGTGGGGGCTGCAGAGTCTCTCCCTCCTCCTCCTCCTCCTGCTCTCTTCTCTCTCGCTCGCTTCCCCCGCCTCTCTCTCTCTCTCTCTCTCTCTCTCTCTCTCTCCCTCTCTCTCTCTCGGTTGCCGCTGCTGCCGTTGGCTCTTATTCTCCTCCTCCTCCTCCTCTCTCCTCCTCTCTGCTCCTCTCTGCTCCTCTCTCCTCCTCTCTCCTCCTCCTCCTCCACCTCCTCCTCCTTTCTCCCCCTCTCTCTCCCCCTCTTTTCTCTCTTCTCTTTCTCCCCCGTCCCCCCGCCCCCTCCCCCCCAGGCCTGATGAGCAGGTCTCGCGCTTCCATCCATCGGGGGAGCATCCCCGCGATGTCCTATGCCCCCTTCAGAGGTACGGTGGTGGGGGAAGGGGGAGGGCCAGATGGGGGGGCAAGAGGGGGAGGGGCGGGGGGCGGGGGGAGCGCTGGGGCCAGGGAGGGGAGGGAGAGGCTGAAATGGAGGGAGAGGGGAGGGCCAGGAAGGCAGGGGTAGGAGCAATGGGGAAGGAGGGATTGGATGCTAGAGGGATAGGGGTAGGTAAGGGACGAAAGGGCCAGGAAACAGGCCTTGAAGGGGGCTAAGAAGAAAAATGATGTAGGGGAAAGGGAGTGCCAGAAAGGGGTGGGAAGGTAGAAGGACAGGGTTGGGGGAAGAGGAGCAGAATTAATTTGGGGGTAGGAATGATGAAGAAAATATCAAGGAAACAGATGCACAGAGTCTTAGGAGAGAGGATAGAAGGGGAAAATGAAAACATTGTGGTAAAAAAGAAGCCAAGAAGATGTGGGGAGACTAAGGTGGGGACTCAGAGAATGGTAGGGGTTAGGAAAAAAGGAGGATGGAGAGAGAAAAGGGGCCAGATGGAGAGAGAGGGTGGCAGTCGGGGGGAGGGGTGGAGGGTCCAGATGGAGGGAAGAGAGAAGAGAGGGAAAGAGTTGGGGGAGGGGAAACCAGGGGAGAGGGAGGGCTAAATTATGTGTGTTTGGTGGGTGGGGAGGAGATAAAAGTAAGATTGAGTGATGCCAGTAGGGGCCAGGTTAGAATCCTGCTCTGGACTCTTACCCTCACTTACCCTCATTAAGACCTTTGACAAGTGAAATGCAACGCCCCCCCCCCTTAACTCTTCTCTTCATTTCACCACTTTTACCCCTCCCCCACCCCCACCCCTTATTTTCATTCCTCCTCCCTTCCTCTGCTGTCCATCCCTTATATCTTTCCCCCCATATAGTGTCCGTTCCTTATAAGCGTCCCCCTTCTGTCCTTCCCCTGTATCAGTCCTCTCTCTGATGTCCATTCTCTCTCACTGTGTCTTCTATCTGGTAGCTTCCTTATATCTATACTACCTCTCTACCCACTCCTTAACTCCCATGTCTTAGGCCCCCCTATTAGGTCCTCCTAATTTCCTCTGCCCCATGTCTGGTTGAGCTTTCTGATATATTTCCTTGCCCCTAGGCATTTGCCATCATCTCTGCCCCCTTTTCTTTTAGATCCATACTGTTATTTGTCCCCTGGCCCATCCTCTATTTCCTACCCCACTTCCGATCTTGTCACCACAGTCTGTGCCTACTCACTTTCCTTTAATACCCCAGCCTTTGTCACCATTCCTCTTGTCTCCTCTACTTCCTGGGGTGTTGGAGAATTGGGGTGCAAAGACACTGAGATTTTGATGGTTGTAACAGGGGCTGTACGGGATCCCCATCTGAGCCCTTGTGGGACTTCTCATTCCAGTCAAAATTTTCCCTTTCTCAGCTGTGAGAAAGGAATCTGTCTCCCAGGGTCACTGTCATTCTTCCTTAAGTCTAGTGTGTGTGTGTGTGTGTGTGTGTGTGTGTGTGTGTGTGTGTTTGTGTATTTGCAGAGCTGATCTTAAGCTCTAAGCTAAATTCCCTGTGTCTTTCCTGCTCCCAGGAGAAAGGTGCCCCTTGAAGTTTAACCTGCTTCCCTCAGTGCAGCCTGAACCAATCAGCCCTTCCCTCCCATTATGGGTATATGTATCAACAGATGTGCACCAGATGTCTAAGGGCAGTGGACCTGTTGTTGCCTGTAGTGTCTGTGGCCTCAGTGTCTAGGTATCAGTGATTTTTGTATCTAGAGAATATTGGGTAGAGTCTGTGAGATGATATTGAAACAGTGAAAGTTTCAAAGTATTGTGGTTTCTGGACATTTATATCTTTGGGTTCATCCCTCACTCTGATCTGCAGGTCGGGTAAGTTTGAGGGACATGACTGTAGACAGAAAGGGGCTGGATTTTTCAAAACTCCTACTCAAGGCATTGCAATGAAACTCAAAGACCATTTCTCCTGCAATCTACCAATGTTAATTTTCCCACAAAGGTGACAGAATTAGGTATTTATTTCTTTAAACTCTCACTCTGATACCTTAGGCTTAATTTCTATCACTCTGATGTCACCAATCTACCTGACTTTTCTTTCACTCCTCTACATCCTGTGTCCCTGTGATGGTATGTGGCAAGAGTTTAAAGGAGAGGTGATTTTCAGGGAGGAGGGGCATGGCAAAACAGCAAAGATGAGAAAGAGGGTCCCTGGGAGCATAGTTGAGCATGGACAATCCTTGGTCTGCTGTTTTATTGTTTAGCTCCAGCTCTAAGGAGGCCTCCTCTGTCATCGGGCCTGAATATTGCATTCTTCCCTCCACTCTTTCTTCCTCAAGTTGCTTACTGTACCTTGGGGAGGCTCCTGACCTGTGGAGTTGGCTTCCATTCTGTCTATGGAGAGTAGGCGAGGAGGGAGAGCAGGACTGAATCTTTGATCACTGGGTGTGGGATGGAGGAAGAGGCCAATTTGGTCTCTATTCAAACCAGGGTGTATTTTCCACCCTGCCCTTTCCACAGTCAGATGTTAACAAAAGCTATCTTCTCCCTACTACCAGAAGAAACAACTTTTCCAAAGGATGAATAGGGTAGGTCTAGGGGAGGAGGGAAGAGATGTGAGGCAAAAGGTGTGGGGGACCCTCTTGTCTCTGACTCGGGGAATAGGTAAGCCTCTCCCTCATTTCTCTTCAGATGTTTAGCTCTCAGAATCTTATGACCCAAATGTTCTTATACATCCCCATTCTTTCCCATAGCTGTGTAGCTTTCCTCTAACTCTCTGGAAGCTGTGTGGTTCCCCTTTCCAAGTCCATCTTTTTTCTTTTCCTTTTGATACTGGAGTTTGAGCTCAGGGCCCCATGCTTGCAAGCAGGCGCTCTACTTCTTGGGCCACTCCGTCCATCTTATGCAGTTATTTGGATGCCTTCACTCTTTCTAGACATCTGCCATCAACCTCTCTGTGTGTCTTTCTTTTGCTAGTTTTGCTACACCTCCACCCTTTTATTTTCCCTGAGTGGATGGAGAGCTCCTTCACCTTTCCCTGCCCCCAGTCATGTCCCTCTCTGTCATGATATAATCCCCCCCCACTTCCCCTCTGTACTTTTCCTGAAAGTCTACAGAGCTTCCTGTGATCTGATTCCCCAGATGTAAAGGGTTGTTTCTATTCCTTGAAACTTGCCAGGTGCCTCAATCTCAACTGTGATCTCTTAAGGCGGGTGGGGTTCCCTTCTCCCACTTTGTGGACTCTTCTTGCCATTTTACGTCTGCTCCCAAATACATAGAGCCTCCCTTACTGTTTCTGTGTGTCTCTGTCCCCCAGATGTACGGGGACCCCCTATGCACCGAACCCAATACGTTCATTCCCCGTATGATCGTCCTGGTTGGAACCCTCGGTTCTGCATCATCTCGGGGAACCAGTTGCTCATGCTGGATGAGGATGAGGTGAGCAGGGTGAGGAGGTTGGGAGAAGACTACTGGGGTAGTGTGGGAGAAGGTGGAGAGAACGATGGGTAGAGTACTCATTAGTGAAGGGAGAGAGATACAATGAAAGTAAAGAGAAACATCTGCAAATGGTGGGAGGAATTTGGCCATTGATTTGGACTGGGGAGTCATTCTCTGACCTTGGTCAGGGGGTCTTTGAGAGCCATGGCAGTGTTGAGCAGAGATGTGATTCTGAAGCCTTCTCTTTCATCCCTCCACATGGTAGGATAGGTTAGAATGGAGAAGGGATGCTGAAGGGCTTGGAGAAAGTGAAGAAATGGGAAGGCCTTCCTTCCAATGTGATCCTCAGGACCCCTTCTCTCTTCCTGCCTGCACTGAGCAAGACCCATCTTACCACTCTCACTCCCAGTCCTTTTCAGCATGGAGCACAGGGAGGAGAAACCGAGAAAAGGCAGGGAATGTGGTTTGGGGGTAAGTGGGAGGGGCTGAAGAAGCTGGGAGAGAGATGACAGAGATCACTGGATCATGGTGAAGACTGTGCAGGTACACAGATCAGTGTTTAGACATTGGGAGCTTCTTCTGGGATAGGTTGGACATCAGGAAGGAATGGAACAGAGGGATGAAATGCCTGAGAAGGAGGAGAACTGGGAGTATGGGAGTTGTCTAAAGGAATAAAACTGGAGAAGGGCAGGGACTAGTGAAGGAGATGAAGTGGACAGAGTAGTCTTATGGGAGGTAGTGGCCATGTAAGATTTGAGAGCCAGGAAGTATAGATTCCAAAATGGAAGCAGAGTCAGCAGTCGAGGGTCCATCAGAAGAAATAGGATGCAAATATGAAAGGTGGATGCCTCATAGATGTGATTCAGGCAATGAAGGTGATTTGCACACAAGCTTTAGAGAGTAATAAGGGTAGCCTGGAAGACCAGAGAGGTGGTGAGAGATATGCCCAAAAGCTATGGGATGGTGTGGTGAGGCAGAGCTGGAACGAGAGGTAAGGCTAAGAGGGTTCTGGAGGGCAGGTGAAAGTGTGGAGAGATAGCTGGATGGAGAAATGGCTGAGTAGAGAGCTTCTAAGACACAGAGTAAAGTAGGGCAGAGGACATGGTGACTCTAGGGAGGGGTGGCCTGGGGAGTCTTAAGTTTCAAGCACTTAAGTACTTGAGTAACCCACTAGTTGGTCATCAGTCTTGATCAGGGATTTAGAGTCTGCAGGACAAATTGGCAAAATTGGACTAGATGTGGGGACTGTTGTAAGGTTAAAGAGAGAGGACAGTAAGTGGGGTAATGAACTGTAAGATGGAGACAGAGAGGACCCAGTGACCAGCAAGCTGAGGGTCAACAGGAATAGCCATTGTGGGGTGTGAAGATGGGGAGGCACAGGATGAAGTGGATGGAATTGGGATAATGAGCGGTGTGTAGAGCCCCAGGAAGTTGGAAGTGGATGGGTTGTGGGGCAAGGGCTGGGGGTTGTTCGGGGGTCTAGATCCTGTGGCTCCTGGGAGGGGTGGAGGTTGGGAAGAAGATACCCAGGGGGAGGTGGAGGTGAGGCGCAGGGAAAGGTAATGTCTGAGGGAAGAAGGAACTGCGATATGGGTGGGAGGTGATGGAAGGAGATGAAAGGTGGGGGGAGGTGACCAGGCCCTCTGGGGGGAGGGGAGGTTGGGTCCCTGTCTGGCCGCAAGCCGGGCCGTGGGAGGGAGACAAGCTGTGGATCCTGATTATAAATGCAACTTCTGCTACCCCCGTGACAGGCTGAGGGAGAGAAGGGGTAAGGGAGGTGGGAGGGTGGGAGGAAAGCAGGAAGAATGGACGGACTGAAGGTCAAGGGGAAACTGAATTCAGGAGGTAGCTAACTCCTGAGGAGTTGCCAGAAGCGCTGAATAGTGTTTAGGAGAATTCTCTGGAGGGTGTTCCAAGAGAAACGAAGGGAGAAAAGACGAGAGTAGGAAGGAAAGGCAGGAGAGGGAGAGGAAGGGACTTGGAGAGAGGAGCGAAAGAGAAATCCTCCCCACTCCAAAAGACACTTGAAGAGTGGGCAGAGAGGGACAGGCGGTGGCAGGCCGGGTGGAAATGGGCCCGTCTTCGGTGGAGGAGGGAGAGGAGGGACGGCACGGGCTGGTGAGGTCTGACACACCCCCGCATCCCCTTAGATACACCCCCTTCTGATCCGGGACCGGAGGAGCGAGTCCAGCCGCAACAAACTGCTGAGACGCACGGTCTCCGTGCCGGTGGAGGGGCGGCCCCACGGCGAGCATGGTACGGCGGCCGAGCAGGCTCTCGTGCCCCGGACAGTCGCGGGAGTGGGCTGGAGGCGGACTGGTGGACTGGTGGACTGGTGGACTGGTGGACTTAGCGGGCGGGAGGGCGGGGGCGGAGGAGGCGGGAGGAGGCGGAGACAAGTCCCGCTTCCCGGAGAGACAGCGCCCTCTTCTGGGCTGTGGAGCCGGACAGGGGCTGTAGGTGAGAGGCCCTGCGCGTCCTTGCTCTGCTTTGCTCTCCAGCAGCGAAGTTTGACTGTTTTCCAGGTGCTTGTAAAAATAGTCTCCTTAGATCTTTAGTTTCCTGTCCGAGTGCTTCTGCCCCTGGCCCTCCCGTGCCTTGGTCTGGGATCTTGGAGAGAATGACCTAGTTCCTGCCCTACCCCCAGACTTCTGTCCCACCCCCATACTCCTGATTCTTCTTCTAGACTTTCAGGCTTGTGGTCCCTCTCTCTTTTCTTTCCCTTTTTTCCCTCTTCTCATCAACTGCATCTATTTTCTGCAGTTGTATCGTCCCTTTCTTTTTCTCTCCAGTTTCTCATTTTCTGTACCCCTCTTGATTCCCCTGTCCCTCCCTTCTGCTCCCAGAGGTACTCCATCAGACCTCCATCACATCTCCTTACTGTCTGTAGAGCTATCTGCTCAGTCTGTCTCTCCAACTCTCTCCCTCTCTCCATCTGTCTCTTCCCCTCCCTCCCCCTTTCTGCCCCCCCCACCCCCCTCTTTAGTCATTTAAAAAAAGATTTTTGTCTTCCTGAGAAGTTCGCTTAAAAGGTTTCCATGGGAACAGTGAGGGGAGATGAAGGCAGAGAACAGAGATCTGCAGCCAAGGTGCAGAGAGACGCCCTCATTCCCCGGAAGCCCCCTCGCCACTGCCCCCTCTGCAGCCCTTTACAGGACCCTGGATTCAGGTCCCCCATCCCTCCAACCCCCTGGTGACCCCTTTCTCCCACCAACTCCTCCTCCCCTCAAGGATCCAGGCTTCCACTTGCTCCCTTAGCCAGTGGCCTGTCCCTATCCTTGGCCCCCTCCAGCTTCCTTCTGATAGGTCCAGGCTCATTGCCCTTGGGGTCTGCTTTGGGACCCTGGGCAGGTGGTCAGTGATGTGTGTCCTTGTCATGGAAACCTCTGACCATGGGGTTGTGCAGGTAGCACATCTCTGCTAAGCAAAACCAGGTGGTGGTGGTGGACTGTGTGTGATGTCTGTCACATCTGTTTGTGTATAGGTGTGTATGTGTCATGTTCGTGGCTGGTGCATATGTGTGTACCTGTGTGCCCAGACCAGAATGGTAACATGCTCACAGAGAATGTTTGTCGTGTGTCCTTGTGATTGGCCGCTCTGCCCACATATTTTCCATCTTTCTTCTTACCCTGAGTCCACAGAATCCGGGGAAGGGGGGGGGGTCTTTATCATGGGTCTTGTGTCTTTTGGGTGGGGCACCGTGTGTTTGGAGTTGAGGTGGTATGTGGAGGTTGCTGTGTTGGGGCTTAGTAGACTGGAAGGGGCTCCTGGATGCGTGTGTATAGTTTTTTATTGGGGGGAGGGTTTAGTGAAAGTTGATAGCTGGGGTCTTAACAGGGAAATGGAATGTGCGTGAACGATGTGCTGTGGACATAGGGGGCGTTGGGACTTTGGGGGCTCTGGTCTACGAAGGTGTTTGCTGAGGCCGTGGACTCTCCAGCCCGGGAGAGGTCGCCGGACCTTTGAGGGGCATTGGAATCCAGCGCTCCTCCTCTGTTGGGTGGAGCCGCAAACCCTCGTTCCCTCGCGGTTTTTTTTTTTTTTGGGGGGGGGGTCCTGTTCAGAGGCGATGGTGGGAGGCCTCGTTGGTTTTGGGGGTCCCCTTGCCCCCCTCCCCCGTCTCTCTCGCTCTGTCTCCGGGCGACGGGGCTCGTGACAGAGGCGGCCACGGCAGCAGCGGTCGCCTAGCAACGGCGGCGGGGCCCGGGCAACGGCGGCAGCGGCGGGAGCGGCGGCGGAGGGAGCCGTTCCCGCGGCCGTCACCGCGCGGCCGTCCCGGCCGTCCCGGGCCCCGCCGCCGTCCCCACCGCGCCCGGCGGCGCAAGCCGGGCCGCGCCGCCCCTCTCCCTCCGCATCCCGCCCCTCCCCGCGCAGGGCGGGGCCCTTCCCCCACCGGGACACCCTCGACCCCCCCCGGGGCGGTGCGAGGTAAGGGCGGGCCGGGCGGACGAGGAGCGCGCGTGGGGGGCGCCGCGCGCGCGTGGGGCGGGGGCGCGCGTGTGCGTGGGCGCGGGGGGGTGGGGAAGCCGCGGCGGCGGCGGCGGCGGCAGCTGCTCCCTCCGCATGTTCTCGCTGCATCTTCCGAGTGGGGGGAGTTATGGTAACCGGAGGGGGGCAAAGGAGGTGGGGGGGTCTGGAAGGCCTTGAGCGGGCAGGGTTGCAAGGGGACGGGTGGGTGGGGGCGGCCGGTGTGTGGGGGTCTTGGAGCCACCTTGGTGTGTTTGCATGTGTTGTGTTCATGCTCGTGGCCCCAGTGTGTCAGTGCCATGTGCACAGGGGGCTCAGTTCCTCCTGTACACATGTGTAGCCAGTCGTGCGTAAGCGTGTCCTATCTTATCCTACTTCTGCCTCTTTCATGCCTAAGGGTCTGTCGGGTCAGCCCCTGACTTGTTAGGGTAGTCCTTGTCCATAGTGATGCATGTCACCCTTGACCCTGAGCATGCTTGTCCCTGGTTGAGGCTCACCTTCCATCAGTCTCCCGTGTGTAGGAATGTGTGTCTGAGCTGTATGAGCAAAATTCTCTGTGTCCCTTGTGGCAGGTGTATGTCTTTGCATGTGGGTTCCAGCCTTGGCCTGAGTATCTGTGTCAATCCCAGCATGGGTGTCCAGGGCGTGTCTGAATGTGGGTGGTGTGCAAGTGATGGTGGGGGGAAAGTATGAGTGCGCTCCTTGGACTCTGAGCTAGAGTGGGACAGGAAAGATCAAAAGGAAAGGAGTGGGGTAAAGAGGAAAAGTGGAGAGAACAGAGGAGAGGAAGAATGAAGAAGGCTTCAAGAGAACAGAAAAGAGAGCAAGGGAGAAAGAATAGCTGAGAAAGAATATGAGAGAGCTGAGCCTGACTTAGAAGAGGGGCTGGGCTTAAGATGGATTACTGGATGGAGACAGTAAAAGAGGAAGGGGCCTGGGAACTGAGAGGCAGGGTGAGGAGAGAGGTCTCTCCACAAAGTGATCTCTGTGGAGAGAGGCCCTGTAGGATCAGGCTTGGTTGGATCAGGGAGGCCATTCAGGCATAGGGGCTGGCTCACAGTGAGGCCTGTCACAGCATGGACTGTACAGAGCATTGCCTGCTTTTCTCTGCTCCCTATCTAATCCTTTCTCTCCTGGTTCCCCTTGAGAGCTGCCAGCTGGATTTGGAGAAGAAAGGCCAAAGGAAGGTTAGGGATTTGGGGGATTGTAGGGCACGGGGAGATTCTGTGGATGATGACAAGATTAGAGACATTGGAGAGGCGCAAGTCCAAGCCCTTGCTCTGTGTGTGTGTGTGTGTGTGTGTGTGTGTGCAATTATGTGTGTATACAGGGTGTGTACATGTGTGGGTGTGTGCACAATGCCTGCTACTGTTCTGTGTAGGTGGCTGTTATGCATGTGCATGCGTGTATACATCGTGCAGGGATGGGACATGGAGACCCAGCATCCCAGTGTATGCTTTTCAGGTTTGTCCTGAGTGTGTACGTTGTTGTGTGTTGTGTTCTCTGTATAGATCACTGCCTGCAGCACTAATAACAGGATGTCCTGTGTTCCTGTCACTTTACCCCTTTCCTCTGTGTTTCTGCTATTATTTTTCTTGCTGCAGTGAGAGTCTTTGTAAGCATATGTGTATGAGGCCTACATGCACCTGTGACTTACGTGTGAGTTCAGAGATCTTAGTTCCTGGTAATATGTGTACGGTTATATTACTTCCAAGAACCAAGCAAACCAATTAGCAAGTTCTTTTTCCTTCTGTTAATACTTGAGTTGCAAAGCAAAATTTTAGAGGATTTAAAGTTAGACTTTATGCCTTTATTAGAGGAGCTTGTGTGTGAAGATAATGACTTGAGCTAGGTTCCCTGAGAGTGAGGCAGCCATACCTGAGACATGCAGAGAAATGGAAGGAAATATCCTGGACCTTGGGTTCATTGCTTACTGTGCAACAGAAGGATAATTAATGCATTTGCTCCTTGTTTTTTCTCTGGTAGCAATCATGGATGCTGATGTTGGAGTCAGGGAAGAGCTGGGAGGAAAAAGAGGGCTGTCTGAAGGCAGAGTGGATGTGTTTGCACTTTTTGTGTGAAAAGTGTTTGTGCTCTTAGGATATGGGGATTCCTTTATGTGGTCAAGATCATGGTGAAAGGATGGAACATGGGATCATGGTGTACTCAAACATGTATCTCAGGGGTTAAAGTTGCACTTCCCTGTCTGGGAGACATGAGTTGCCTTAGGGTTACATGTCCAGTTCTTTAGTGTGCTGCCCACATAGTTGCCCAAGCACTTGGGCCACAAAGTCCACACCAGCAGCTTTCATGTTGCAGTACTCACTTATGTCTAAGCAGGTGGGTGTGTGGGCCTCAGGACCTCAGAACGTGGATCCCTGGTCCCCTCATGCTTACAGTTATCTGTATGTCTCCTAAGCACTTATTTCCCTATTTAGTTTTATATTGTGGCTCTCTGATATACATGTCCCCCCCACAGCTCAGTGTATGTTTCTGTGTTCTACACGTGTTCCTGAGGGACTGATAGAGTTCTTGTGTCATAGCATCCAGATTTTTGTGTGTAAACCCGGGTTTGCAGATAAAGGGCAGGGAACTGATGCTAGGGCAGTTGTAGGCAATCTGCAGTTCAGAAAGCAGACAGTGAAACTGTAGTGTGGCCCTCCCTTGTTCTGTTCTGGAACCTAGAGGGTTAACAGGCAGCTCTTCCGGTCCACCACCCCCCCCCCAGCCTGTAGCTTCTTGTTGCCGTGGAGATGGTGGCCCCGCCCCTGATGCAGCACCTGCCCCCCCATTGGCTGCAGTGGTGACTGGGGCTGAGAGGGGGGAGCCCAGGCCTGGGCAGCCATTCTGGAGCTGGAGCCGGAGCTTGGCATCCCCCCACTTTCATTCTCCTCCAGCCCCTCAGCCCCTCTAAATACCTTGGCAGCAGAGCCTCAGCTTCCCTCTTCAGAGCTGCCGTCCTCCTAGACCCTTGACAGGCTGATCCGCATTACCTCCCCTCCTCCTCTCCTGCCTTTACTTGGGAGTACCCAGAACCCCCACTGCTTGTCCTTGCCCACTCCCCTGCATTCTTTTTCTTTTCCCCTTTGCCCCTTTCCTTCTGAGTCCCTGCCACTGTAGTGCACGTGGACTGGGCTCCTTCTCCCCTCCCCTCATTTGCTCCTTCCTTGGATTTTCTGTCCCCAGACTTCTGCCACCCCTCACTGGTCCCTTCCAAGACCTCCCCCCTCCCCAGTCCAGGGAGGGGGTCATGAGAGGCAGCCCTGGCTCTCCAGACAGACAGGGGGTCTGGGAGGTACTGGGCAAGTGGAAGATGTCCTCAGCTGGGAGAAGAGGAAAGCCTGCCCATGGGCAATGACCTTTAACCCATCTTTACCCCCATCTAGTCCCTTCTGGGGGGATGGGCAACAGGGACCTAGCCTCCCCGGATCTTTGGTATCCTTCATTAATGGGGGTTTATTGACCCCTCTTGGCCATGCCCCCTGCTGACTAAACCCCTTGTCATGGGCTTAAGGCCTCCTACCCCATCCCCCTCTGGGGGCTCCGGCTCGGGATCCTTGCCCCCTCCTTCCAACCGCCAGCCTCTCCGCCGCCGCTGCTCTTCCTGCTGTTTTCCGGGGGGTAGGTGAGGCCGGAGCTGAGGGGCAGAGGGAGGTGGGGGAATGCACTTGGGCCAGGGTGGAAATGGGCCAACAGCCCCCATTCTGGATCCCCTTATCAAATTCCCCTTGGGCGCTTTCTTCCCCTCTAGAATACCACTTGGGTCGCTCGAGGAGGAAGAGTGTCCCAGGGGGGAAGCAGTACAGCATGGAGGCCGCCCCCGCTGCACCCTTCCGGCCCTCGGTGAGTGAATGGAAGTGCTTGCCAGATGTGGCTCAGCTGGGCAGCCTCCCTCCAGCCCCAGCTGGAGCCTTAGGATTCTGAGAAAGGGGGCGGGAGGAAAAGAGAAATTGTGTGTGTCCCTACTTCTTTAGTTTCCCCTTCTTGGCTCTGCCTCCTGCTTCTCGGACCAGCCCTCCCACCTTCTCCAGGCTGGTGTGTGTGTTTATGTATTTGCTTGCACCACACGCAGGCACCCATGAGAACAAGGAAGACAAACTGGTATCAAGGCTCCTATCCCCCTTTCCTCGCTTCTAGAGACTTCCCTTTTCCCCGTCCCACCACCTTTCAGGGACTCTCTACCAGCTGAGTGGTGAGTGGGTAAAGCTGGCCCTGCCCCAACCCACCCCTATCCCCATTTCCCCCCCAGCAAGGCTTCCTGAGCCGTCGGCTAAAAAGCTCCATCAAACGCACGAAGTCCCAACCCAAACTTGACCGGACCAGCAGCTTTCGCCAGATCCTGCCTCGCTTCCGAAGTGCTGACCATGACCGGTATAGGAGCATGTGGGATGAGATGGGTGCAGTGTGTGGGGCTATGGAGGGGGTTGGGGAGGATGGAGGTTACCTGAGTTCAGAGGTAACTCAGGTTGGTTGAGGATGTCATGGTGTCAGGACAGAGCAGAGAGGAACTCCGTTACCATAAGAAAGGTGGGATACAGGTGTGTGTGGGGTAGTTGGCAGGACCTGCAATGACAGGACCTGCAGAGGCAGGAGAGGGGGTGAAGATGAAGCCAAGGAGGGCTCCTCAAACTGACAGAAAGATGAGCTCCAGCCTAGGATCAAAGGGTCTGTACAAAGGACCAAAAGAAGTAACAAGCCTTCCCAGAAAGAACATTAAGAAAGCCAAAGAAGGGTGTGGTGGGGTGGTGGGGAGGGAGTAGCAGGACCTAGGTGGAAGAGTGTGGGGGAAGGGTAGGAGGTACAGGGATAGCAGGTTAGTGTAAGGCTAGGGCAACTAATGTGAATGGGTGAAGGTCAGGGCTCAGGAACTATCAGTGGAGTGGGGGAAAGGCCAGTTTAGAGCATGACAGAAAAGGCAGGGAGGAATGGAACAAGTATGCAGGGTGAAAGAATAGGGATCAGAGGCTGCAGGGTTAATCCATGAACTGAGGAGGCTGGAGGCTTGACTGAAGGAGATCTTGTTGTTTGCCCCTGTTGTCTCCTTTTCTTCTCAGGGTTTCCCCCTTACCCAATCATTCCTTAGGGAGAACCCTGGTGTTTCCCCCACCCCCCATTGAGCTGAGCAGGTAGAGAGGTTGGGATAAGGTGAGTTGCACCTTTCCCTGCCCCCCTCCTATGTCACTGGAGCTGGATTTGGGGCCGGCAGGGGGTGGGGGCATGGTATTCCTGGCCGCGTGGGTGGGGGGGCCGGGGGAGCGTGGCGCTGACGGCAGCCAGAGCCCATGATGACGGGGCTGCTATAAATAACTTCATGGAGGCTCCCACACCCGAGCTCCCCCTCCCGCTTCTCCACTGTTCTCTACTCTTCATCCTCTACCCATCTCCATACTACTTGTTATCCTGTCCCCCCTCATTCTGTGCCCCCAGCCTCCTTTACCTTCTGCTCCTCCATGGTGCTATTTGCATTTCAGCCCTATCTTTGTCTGTCCATCTCTCCGGATTCCCTTCTCAGCCACTCTCCTCTGTCTTGCAGCCTTTGCTCTTGCTTGCTACTTCTTACCTACTTCTTTTTCTTCCCTAGTCCCCAACTCCAATCTCTGACCTTCATTCTGCTGCTTTTGGCCCACAGCTTTCTCTTATTTCTAATGCTTTTCACCTGTTCTTTCCCCTGGTTCTGCTAAAACTTGGCCTTTTATCTCATTCATTCATTCATGTATTCATTCATACTTTGAATGATGAAATGTTTATTAGGCACTAGCTGTGTGCCTGGTCCAGGGCAGACAATAGCATATCTCCTGTATACCTCCAGTTCTTTTCTTCCATTGCTCACTTATATTGAGGCTCTGGTTTCTGGGATAACCTGAAGGTTCTATCTAGTCCAAGCCTGCTTTGTTCCTCCTACTCTTTTTTTCTGTCATGGTCCATTTCTGGTTTGAGGTATTTCTGGGTGTCCTGAGTCCTCACAACTCCTTAGATATTAATGGGGGTGGGAAAGTTTCTTAGAGGGTTCTGGTTTTTCTCATATCCCCCATGTCCTTCCCCAGGGGAGGCTTGGTTTCTTTCTATGAACTATGTGTGAAATGTGTGTGAAGGGGTTCAGGAAGTCTTTTCTCCAAGTCGCCATTCTGGAGCCATACAATGAGGCAAGGATCCTGAGTGTATAAGAAGAGTAAAGATCCTAATTCTTTCCTGAATCTCCCTCCTGCCAGGGCCCGGTTGATGCAAAGTTTTAAAGAGTCACACTCTCATGAGTCCTTGCTGAGTCCTAGCAGTGCAGCTGAGGCCTTGGAACTCAACTTGGATGAAGATTCCATTATCAAGCCAGTACATAGCTCCATCCTGGGCCAGGAGTTCTGCTTTGAGGTACTGGGTCTAGTGGGATGAGGAGGGCCAAAAGGATGATGGGAAGATAGGGACAGAGAGATCTAGAGGAAGTGACACAGGTGGGGATGTCAAGGAAACAGAAACCTATGGGCAAGGATAGTACAGGGAGAAAGAGATGGGGGGTGGGAATCTCCAGGCCTTAGGAGTCACCTCACCTATGGAACCCCATTCCTTAACTTCACACCCCTCTTTAGGTAACAACGTCATCTGGAACAAAATGTTTTGCCTGCCGGTCTGCAGCTGAAAGGGACAAATGGATTGAGAATCTACAGAGGGCAGTAAAACCCAACAAGGTATTGGGGAGTAAGGGGACAATGACAATATGCCCAGGACAAAGGATGAGCCATAAGAGAGGCTGGGAAGTCTAGTAGGCTAAAGGAGAGGAGGCTTGGAAAGGAAGAGGGGACACAGGTATAGGGATGGTCCCCATAATTGCATCACCCCCCCTCCACTTTTTTCTTTTTTGTAGTACTGGGGATTGAATCCAGGGCCTTGTACATGCTAGGCAATCACACTACCACTTCAGCCATGCCCAGCACTTTTTTTTTTTTTTTTTTTTTGGTTGGTACTGGGGTTTGAATGCAGGGTCTCATACTTGCTAAGTGGTGCTCTACCACTTGAGCTACTCTGCCAGCCCTGTTTTGTGTTGGGTATTTTTGAGATAGGGTCTTGTGAATTGTCTGCCCTAGTGGCTTTGAACCACATTCTTCCTGATCTCTGCCTCCTGAATAGCTAGGATTACAGGCATGAGCCACCGGCGCCCAGCTTTATTTTGTTTTGTTTTTGAGACAGGATCTTGCCAACTTTGCCTGGACTGGCCTCAAATTCATGATCTTCTGCCTGCCTCTCCCCAGTAGCTGGGATCACAGGCATGTACCTCCACAGTTAGCTTGAATCCCCCATTTCTTTTTCTTTCCATTCTGCCATCCTACCTCATGATTGGTTCCCTACCATAAAAATCATAGCTGGAGGGGCTCTGGAATTTTTCTGTTCCAGGTCCCTTGCAGGCAGGAATGCCTTACCAACACCAAACACTGCCCCAATGTGAAGTATTTTTGCAGGACACACAAAATGCAGTTGGCGAAGTCTCTGTGCATTAGTTTCCTCTCTGTAAAACTGGTGGAATGTGGTTGGATTAGATGATCTTTGAGATCCCTTTGGCCCAGAGAGTCAATAAATCTGTGTTCTTCCCAAGGCTTCTACTTTCCAGGAGAAACACTCCCAATTCTGATAGCTAGTCTCCGTATCTGTTTCTAGCAAGCTCACAAGTCCTAGTAACCCTTCTCTGGGGGAACTCTTAATTTCTCAATGTTCTTAAAAGAACTTTACCTCACCAAAAAAAAAAAAAAAAAAAAAAAAACAAGAAAATCCTTCTAAGATGCTGGACCTGATCTGACCCATACAGAGTCCAAATACCATACTCCTTTCAGCAAATCACAATGTCACCTGAACCTTACCATGGCCTTGTATTCAGCTGTAGCCCCTGGCCCTTCTCAAACCAATGATGAAGGCTCACTTGTCCTATATTTATGCTTTTTTGTTTTTTCAATATCTAATTGTCACTGTAGTAGTTCCCTGTTCTTCAAATTGTGCCTTATTATTTTTGGTTTGTTATTCCAGCTTTTTCCCAGTACTGACTGTATTGTCTATTTTATGAGTTACCCTTCTGTATTGTTTTGGGCCACTTTTATACAATAGGGTGTGGGTGTGGTGACTCATGCCTGTAATCCCAGCTGTTTGGGAGGGGGAGATAGGAAGATCATGGTTCGAGGCCAGCCTGGGCAAAAAACTCAAGAGTCTATATGAAAAATAACTAAAGCAAAGAGGGACTGCTGGTGTGGCTCAAGTGGTACAGCACTTTCTTAGAAAGTGCAAAGCCTTGAGTTTAAATCTCAGTACTACAATTTAAAAAGAAAGAAAGAAAGAAGGAAGGAAGAAAGAAAAAGAAAGAAAAAGAAACTTACTCTGTCATAGTTCAGGAAGCCAGAAATTAAAATCAAAGTGTCAATAGGGGCCATGCTCCCTCTGAAGATCTAAGGACAGTACTTCCTTGCCTATTCCTGCTCCTGGAGGTTGTAGGCAATCCTCGGAGATTATTGGTTTAGAGCTGTATCCATCTATGTTTGCCTTTGTCTTTCTATGGCCAGCTTCCTTCTGTGTGTCTGTCTACATCTCCATATAATAAAGCCATTAAGGTGGGGGGAGGCCCCCCTGGCAGTGGCTCATGCTTGTAATCCTAGCTGCTCAGGAGGATTGAGGTTCGAAGTCAGCCTGAGCAAATAGTTCATAAAACCCTATCTCGAAAAAACCTAATCACAAAAAAGGGCTGGTGGTGTGGCTCCAGGTATAGGCCCTGAGTTCAAACCCCAGTACTGCAAAAAAAAAAAAAAAAAAAAAAAAAAATAAGGTCACATTCACAGGTTCTGGATAGTCATGAATTTGGTGTGTGTGTGCGGATGGGGGGAGTACCATTCAACTCAGTACAGTTTCTCAGCCTTATGATTGCTGTCTTGATCCTACTTTCTCACTGTCTGTCCTTGGTTTCTCTTTCTGTCCCATTTCTTTTATCTACCCCATGCCAGGACAATAGCCGCCGGGTAGATAATGTGCTGAAGTTATGGATCATAGAGGCCCGGGAGCTGCCCCCCAAGAAGCGATACTACTGTGAGCTCTGCCTGGATGACATGCTGTATGCACGCACCACCTCCAAGCCCCGCTCTGCCTCTGGGGACACCGTCTTCTGGGGCGAGCATTTCGAGTTTAACAACCTGCCGGCTGTCCGTGCCCTCCGGCTGCATCTGTACCGTGACTCAGACAAAAAGCGCAAGAAGGACAAGGCGGGCTATGTTGGCCTGGTGACTGTGCCAGTGGCCACCCTGGCTGGGCGCCACTTCACAGAGCAGTGGTACCCTGTGACCCTGCCAACAGGCAGTGGGGGCTCTGGGGGCATGGGCTCAGGAGGGGGAGGGGGTTCAGGGGGTGGCTCAGGGGGCAAAGGCAAAGGAGGTTGCCCGGCAGTGAGGCTGAAAGCACGTTACCAGACAATGAGTATCCTGCCCATGGAGCTGTATAAAGAGTTTGCAGAGTATGTCACCAATCATTATCGGATGCTGTGTGCAGTATTGGAGCCCGCCCTGAATGTCAAGGGCAAGGAAGAGGTTGCCAGTGCACTGGTTCATATCCTGCAGAGTACAGGCAAGGCCAAGGTGGGTACTGTGGCCTCAGAGAAAGGTGAGATAGGAATGGGCACTGGTTTGGGGTGCAGTGAGGATAGGGCAAATTTATAAGATTGGGCCATGCAGAGGCTGACCATTGGATTTTCCTGGGTTCCAGGACTTCCTTTCAGACATGGCCATGTCAGAGGTAGACCGGTTCATGGAAAGGGAGCACCTCATATTCCGCGAGAACACGCTCGCCACTAAAGCCATAGAAGAGTATATGAGACTGATTGGTCAGAAATACCTCAAGGATGCCATTGGTATGGCCCACCTTCAGGCTTTTTTTTCCTAAATCTACCAGATACCCACCCAAACCCTAAATCTGGCTATCCCATACCCTCAGAATTCCAGAATCCTGGTCTCCAGCCACCTGGTTCTGCCATTCCTCCAACCCAGGGAGCCCCTGTCCCCAAGGTCACACCTTGGAAAGTGTGACCGCTCCCTGTTGTTTTCCCATCCCCCAGGAGAGTTCATCCGTGCACTATATGAATCTGAGGAGAACTGCGAGGTAGATCCCATCAAGTGCACGGCATCCAGTCTGGCAGAACACCAGGCCAACCTGCGAATGTGCTGTGAGTTGGCCCTGTGCAAGGTGGTCAACTCCCATTGGTGAGACTGGGAACGCTGGGCTGGGGGGCTGGGATTGGGCAGTTGTGTGTTCATCTGTTCATTCATCTGTCCATCCTCAAAGAGGACTGAGCACCAGTTATGGGCAAAACATTGTTTTGGGTACTAAAGAGCAGGCAGAGGTGAACAGACATGAAGATGAATAAAAGCCTGGTCTTTGCCCTCAGAGGGCCTCCACCAGATTGAACAGGGACAAGAAAGATGCATTAAAAGGCACAGAACTTTGTAATATGTGTTAAGTGCTGAAGGAGGGTTCTCTGTACAACACTTAAGTTAGAGAAGGAGGGCTTCGATTGAGATAAGGAAGAAGTATCCAGGGCTGGGCTTGGAGATGAGGTTAGATGCTGTGTTTGCACATGGTGGGCAAGAGAGACATTTCTGAAAGCTGTGGAACAGGTATGCATATGAGGGTGACAAAGTCCAGGCTCTTGCAGGGAACACAACTAGAAGACGCTTAGTGGAGCACATGGCTTATAATGGAGGTGGTAGAGAGGGGTGTTGGCAGGGGATTAGAGTTAGGATCTGGAAGGCCTTAGGTTAAGGAATTTGAGCTCATCAGGAGGTCATGGGATGCTACTGAAGATACTGGTACCTGGAAATAGCAGGTTTGAGAAAATGCAAGAGTGGGGCATGCAGGTGATTAGAGTAGGGAGAATGAAGTCCTGGCTATTGGGGGCTGTGGTTAATGAGTAAGACATGAAAATCAGATCTTGAATCAGGATGGTGACAAGAGATGTAAAAAAGAGATGTCTGAGGAAGGATCAGCAGAACTTGTCAACTGATTGGAAAGGAGGGAGCCTATTTGTGGGGAGACAAGGATGACTCAAGAGGCCATGAGGCTGGTGGTTGGGAGACCGTGGCCTCATTGACAGAACCAGGGAAGTCAGGAGGAGGAGTCAGTTGGAGGTGTGGGGGCGATGGTGAGCTGCGTTTTACACTAGTCAAGTTTAAGGTGTCAGTGGGACATTGAAGTGGCACCGGGAGGTGGGAAGAGTGAGCTCTCAGCCATTCCAGGGACTGGGGATCATGCCTGGGGCACGCCCATCCCCATTTCCCTGGAATCCAGAAGAGTTGGGGGGTCCGAGCTCCCTGTACCTCAAGTGACCCTCCATCTCTCTCCCATCTCTGTCTCTCCCTCATGTCTGTTTTTCTTCTCCTCCTCTCCTTGTCTCTCTCACACACCCCTCCGTCTCTCCCACGTGTCTCTCTCCCCTCACCTTCTCTCCCCTTCCATTTCTCTCTCCGGAATCTGTCTGTCCCCTCTATCATGGCCCTCTGCTTCCAGCAGCCTCCTGTCTTTCTCCTGCAGTCCCTCCCTCCCTGTCTTTCTCACCTCTGTCTCCACACCCTCACCTCCTGCCACCCCCTCAGCATGTTCCCTGGAAGCTGAGGGTCTCTGGGGCTCAGTCCCGGTCTCTCTCTTTCTCTCTCTCTCTCTCTGTCTCCCCACCCCTTCCCCCCAGCGTGTTCCCGAGGGAGCTGAAGGAGGTGTTTGCATCTTGGAGGCTGCGCTGCGCAGAGCGGGGCCGGGAGGACATCGCTGACAGGCTGATCAGCGCCTCGCTCTTCCTGCGCTTCCTCTGCCCAGCCATTATGTCGCCCAGTCTCTTTGGGCTCATGCAGGAGTACCCAGATGAGCAGACCTCAAGAACCCTCACCCTTATCGCCAAGGTCATCCAGAACCTGGCCAACTTTTCCAAGTGAGGGAGACTTTAGGCAGGGCAGGGTGAGGTGGTTGTGGTGGGGAGGGTATCCTGAGTTCCCAGAGACCCTGAAAGATGGCTGGGTGTGAGGCCTTCTGCACATGTGTGATCTCTACCTTCTGGACTCCTTGGCCAGGTTTACCTCAAAGGAGGACTTTCTGGGTTTCATGAATGAGTTTCTGGAGCTGGAGTGGGGCTCCATGCAGCAGTTCCTGTACGAGATCTCCAACCTGGACACACTGACCAACAGCAGTAGCTTTGAGGGCTACATTGACTTGGGTCGCGAGCTCTCCACACTGCATGCCCTGCTCTGGGAGGTGCTGCCCCAGCTCAGTAAGGTCAGCAAATGTCCCTTTAGCCTTACCCCAGGTACTTTCAGAGGCGTGTGGGGCCTGAGAAATTACCCCTTGTACAGATTTTTGTTTCCCCTTGTTCCCCAAGATGTCACCAGCATTACTCCAGCTCAGACACCTTCCCCTTGTGCCCTCCAAGGCCCTCTTAGAACTGGGTACTTAGCTTTGAAGTAATAGCCTTGCCCTTCTAGGAAGCCCTCCTGAAGCTGGGCCCATTACCCCGGCTCCTCAACGACATCAGCACAGCCCTGAGGAATCCCAACATCCAAAGGCAGCCAAGCCGTCAGAGTGAGCGGCCTCGGCCTCAGCCCATGGTGCTGAGGGGGCCATCAGCAGAGATGCAGGGCTACATGATGCGGGACCTCAACAGGTAAGCACCCTAGGATGCCCATTCCTATGACTTGGGAGCCCCATCTCTCCTGTTCCAGATACTTCTCACTAGGCATGCGTGAAACAAAGGGAAAAGGCAGCAAGTTGTCAGGGAAAAATGATAAGGAGACAGGTACAGGCAGTGGGAGGCTGAGATCCCTTCAAAGCCAGAGGGAGCCAGAGTTCCAGAAGTGCTAAGGCTCCCCCAGAACCCAGCTTAGTTGGAAGCTGAGGGGATCCCCATCACAAGCTCTGATTTGCTTAGTCTCTCTGCCTGTCCGTGCTTGTCTCCAGGCTGAGGTTCAGCAGGCACATGTTGGTTCAGCCATATTGTGACAAAATAAATATCTCTATACAACTTGGTAAATAAACACCCTCCCCAGTCCCCCACCAGAACCCTGCAGAACTCCCTATGATCCAGCACTTCAGAGAAGCAGCAGCTGGAAACCTAGGGGGCCTGGAGCCTGCTCAGCTGCCCCAGCATCTAGTCTGATGGAGTGGGCCTGGACCTCAGCTGCTGTCCCTTATTTGATGATCACCCTGCTGATCCTCTGCTTATGTCTCTCCCTCCATGACACAATACCCATTCCACGATTCCTGCTGCTCCTTCCATCCATCCACACCTCTCTCCTCTCTGTGCTTGCCCCTTTCCATCTCTCAGCTCCATCGACCTTCAGTCCTTCATGGCTCGAGGCCTCAACAGGTGAGGGGCTCTCCCCTCCCCAGTCCTTCTCTCCTGCTCCACTGACCTTTGCCCTCCTCCTCTCCTTCTCAGTGTACCTCATTTCCTCCATATCTGCCCAGATTGGTCCTCATCCCTCTTCTTGCTGCTCCCACAACTCCTCCTCTAGGAGGAGGCCCCCAGCCTGAAGAAGTCTTGTCCTTTCCCTTTTCCCACCTATCCCCTCCCAGCCTCTTCAGGGCTGCTAGCGCTGGCTTTCAGCCCTGCCCAGGGTCCCACTTTTCATTCAAGGTCTGTACCAGACCACAGCAGGCTCAATTGCTAGTAGCTCTGGCCTTACCTTCTGCTTGTATGTCCCCTTCCCTTCCAACAGTTCTATGGACATGGCTCGCCTCCCCTCCCCAACCAAGGAAAAGCCTCCCCCACCACCACCTGGTGGGGGTAAAGACCTGTTCTATGTGAGTCGGCCACCGCTGGCCCGGTCCTCACCAGCATACTGCACGAGCAGCTCCGACATTACAGAGCCGGAGCAGAAGATGCTGAGTGTCAACAAGAGTGTGTCCATGCTGGACCTACAAGGCGATGGGCCTGGTGGCCGCCTCAACAGCAGTAGTGTTTCCAATCTGGCAGCTGTTGGGGACCTGCTGCACTCAAGCCAGGCCTCACTGACAGCAGCTTTGGGGCTACGGCCTGCACCTGCTGGACGCCTCTCCCAGGGGAGTGGCTCATCCATCACGGCAGCTGGCATGCGCCTCAGCCAGATGGGTGTCACCACGGACGGTGTCCCTGCTCAGCAACTGCGCATCCCCCTCTCCTTCCAGAACCCTCTGTTCCACATGGCTGCTGATGGGCCAGGGCCCCCAGGGGGGCATGGAGGGGGCAGTGGCCATGGCCCACCCTCCTCCCATCATCACCATCACCACCATCATCACCACCGAGGTGGAGAGCCCCCAGGGGACACCTTTGCCCCATTCCATGGCTATAGCAAGAGTGAGGACCTTTCATCAGGGGTCCCTAAGCCCCCCGCCGCCTCCATCCTTCACAGCCACAGCTACAGTGATGAGTTTGGACCCTCTGGCACTGACTTCACCCGTCGGCAGCTCTCACTCCAGGACAACCTGCAGCACATGCTTTCCCCTCCCCAGATCACCATTGGTCCCCAGAGGCCAGCCCCCTCAGGGCCCGGAGGTGGGAGCGGTGGGGGCAGTGGTGGGGTGGTGGGGGTCAGCCACCTCCTTTACAGAGGGGCAAGTCTCAGCAGTTGACAGTCAGCGCTGCCCAGAAACCCCGACCATCCAGTGGAAACCTGTTGCAGTCTCCGGAGCCGAGTTATGGCCCCGCCCGTCCACGGCAACAGAGCCTCAGCAAGGAGGGCAGCATTGGGGGCAGCGGGGGCAGCGGTGGCGGAGGGGGTGGGGGGCTCAAGCCCTCCATCACCAAGCAGGTAGGTGAGGATAGGAGGAAGGTGGGGTGTGTGAAGAGCAGGGAGGGAAGAAGGTAATGGGGGTGGTGGGTGGGGATGAAACTAGTGTGAATTTACAATTTCTTATGTCCTTTTGTTCATTAAACAAATGTGTGTAGAGAGCCTGCAATATGCCATTTAGGCACTATGTATGTGGTGATAAATAGCAGTGTGCTCACTCCAGAGAGGAGTTACGATCAGTCACTTTCTTAGCACTCAAGGGGATAGGATTAGAGTAGGGGAACAGGTCTGAGACTGTTGTTTCTCCTGGCTGTTTTATCTCCCTCTAAATGTACCCTGCCTTTTCCCCCTTCTGCTGTTGTTTCCCCTCATCTTGCCTTGCCCTAGCATTCTCAGACGCCATCCACGCTGAACCCCACGATGCCAGCCTCAGAGCGGACCGTGGCCTGGGTCTCCAATATGCCTCACCTGTCAGCTGACATTGAGAGTGCCCACATCGAACGGGAAGAGTATAAGCTCAAGGAATACTCGAAATCAATGGATGAGAGCCGGCTAGATAGGGTACGCTGGTCCTGCCTTCTCCCTCCCACCCTTCCAACACACATACTCAGTGGCCCAGTTCTCCCTTTCATGCTGGTCCTCCAAGGGAAACATCCAGGCTCAGGTAGTTATGGTTTGAGAAAGCCTTAGTCCATTAGAGGAGACAAGATGCAATGAGTTCATTTAAGAGCCAATTCAATTCTTTCGTGGATTATATACACTGTAGACTGGGGAGAAATATGTTCTAGTTAGACTTGCTGCCATGTTCTTCCTCAGGGAGAACCTAAGTCCTATTCCTGGGACTGCTCAGGAAAAGTTCCTTCACTAGGGCTGGAGGTATGGCTCAACTGACAAAGTACCTGCCTAGCAAGCACAAGGCACTGAGTTCAATCCCTAGCACCACCAAAAAAAAAAAAAAAAGTTGCTTCACTAGTAGTGGATGCTACTCAACTGGGTGGGGCAGAGGGGCTACAACTGTACTATAACTCTCTGGGCTACCCAATCATTGACCTATGGGCGTAGGTGGCAGGTGCTTGATGGGCATGGGTTGTATGCTGTAAATTCATACTGGTCACATGGGGAGAGACCAACCAGTGTCTCAGTTTGTGGTAACTGAGGGCAGGTGGCCCCAAGAGCTGTTGGGGCATCATTGGCAGATAACAGAAAATGACTTGGGGAAGCCATTGTTCCAAAGGTCTTGAGGAAGAGGATGGCTGCAGGATTAGGTCATATGTAAAGAAAATACAGCCCCAACATGTAGGAATGGAGAGGGGTTTCTTGGGGGAAGTGGTTTTTGAGCATAGGTAATGTTTGGACTGATTTAATGGACTTGGTCCAGCAAGTTCCATGAGAGAATTAAGTCCTAATGCCCCAAGCCAACCATCCTAGGCAGTGAATCACATCTCTCTGCATCTAGAATGGGGTTGCTTATGTATGTGCCCTCTTCAGAGGATGGTGAGTTTCTCAAATTGTTTCTCTTTTTCTGTGCTTCAGATGAGGGAGGAATCTTTGTTGAGAAAGGACTCAGACTAGCACTATCCAATAGAACTTTCCGCAGTGATGAAAATGTACTATTATGTACACTGATCAGTATGGTACCTAAATGTGGCTTGTTGCAACTCAGGTACTAAATTTTTAGTGTTAACTTTGAAATAAATAATAAATAGCTACATGTAGCTAGTGGCTACCATATTAGGCAGAACAACTCTAGACTCGAGCCCACAGGGCAAATAAAATGACTCTAAAAAACAAAAAAAAGAAAACTCTTCTGAGCTCTTCTGGCCCTGGAATTCCAGGGTTTATTAGCAGAGAGGTATTCCTAGATCTTAGCCTACAATCCCCTTGAAGGCCTCCTATCCCCAGGACAATTAAAAGTTAAGGGGGTGGGGGGGTCACATATAGGACAGCACCTGCCAGTCCTATGCCTTTTCTGCCTGTCTTCCCCACTTGTTTGGTCTGGCTTGGAGCTGAAGAATCACTTTAATTTCTAGGTACACTTACTTAAGGTGTGTGTGGTAGTCTGCCTAGGGTGTTCTATGGGTCCTCATGTGTCCTGATGGTTATGTAAAGGTACAGGCACTGTCTCTTGGGATATGGGTCTGTAACCTTGCCCTTACCTTGAGGGAGCCTCAGCATCAAGCAGGGCCTTCTCAAAAGCAGGCTGAGTGTGATCAACAGGCAGGGACAGGGGTTGATGCTCTCCCCATGTAGTGACTAGGCTGAGCAGACAGCAATGAGGGCTGGCTGGTGGTATCAGGACAGGGCGCCCCTCATAGTGCGGGGTCGTTTGCCCGGCGGGCAGGTGAAGGAGTACGAGGAGGAGATTCACTCACTGAAGGAGCGGCTGCACATGTCCAACCGGAAGCTGGAAGAGTATGAGCGGAGGCTGCTGTCCCAGGAAGAACAGACCAGCAAAATCCTGATGCAGTATCAAGCCCGACTGGAGCAGAGTGAGAAGAGGCTGAGGCAGCAGCAGGTGGAAAAGGATTCACAGATCAAGAGCATCATTGGCAGGTGAGGGGCGGCCTGGGGAGGGGTAGCAAGGGAGCCTGAGGCTGAAGGGAGCAGAGTGAGCTACTCCTCCTAGCCCCCTGCCCAACTCGGGGGCCCATCCTGTTCCTTCTAGGAACCCACCACTCATCATCAGATGGGGAGAAACCTCCTTCTGAGGACATTAAATGTCCCTTTACTAAACCTTGACAACTCTCCTGATAGAGTAACTTCTGAAGCCCATGGGATAAGTAGCAATTACTGTCCATCCATCACTGTGTCTGGATTCAGCCGAGGCCAGGACTCCCCACTAGTTATTCTCAACTCAGTCTGTGAGGTTCACCTAAGAGCTAGGCAGGGATCCCTAGCCAGATGAGCCCCTGAGCACCCCTTCCCTCAGCAGAACTCTGTAGTTTTAGCAAGGTGTTCCACCAGAAAGGGTCTTTTAGCCTGTGCATGTTTTCAACTGCCCCAAAGCTGGTTATTTTGAGAGCCCAGGGGTGAGGACCCCAACCTGCATTCCAGCCAGAGCCAGGAATGAATCATTTTGATGTCGATGTGTTTTTGAGTGAGACTTAATTAGAAGGAAAGGGCTTCTAGACCTGAAACACTTGATACCCCTGTTCTAATTGATAGCCTTTATAAAAAATGACCTTGAGATCTTCACCAAAGGAGGGAGATGCTGGGAATGAAAATGATTATGGAGAATGGGCCTGGGCTAGGGATGTCCCAGGGGCTGTCACCAAAGGTGGCATGGAGTCATAGAAGCCATTTGTTCAGCCACAGAAGGTCTCAGGGAGAGATGTTAGTGTTCCTTTTGGGAAGGAAGGCTGAGGTGTCTGGGTGATAGAAGTCTTTGAGGTCCGGAAATCTACCCTCAGTAGGGAGATGAGAGGGTCCTTGAGAGGAATATGGAGAACAAGACCCTGAGTTGAGTGACAGGAAGCTTTTTGGGTCACAATAATGGGATGATTCTACAAGAAGGCGAGTTAAGATGCCCGAGGTTTTTCCAGAACTGTAGAGGTTCCCCATGGTCAGGAGTTTCATGGGCAGCTCCCAGCTTGTGCCCGCCACTAACCCCACTGAAGCCCGTCCCTTCAGGCTGATGCTGGTGGAGGAGGAGCTGCGCCGGGACCACCCCGCCATGGCTGAGCCGCTGCCCGAACCCAAGAAGAGGCTGCTCGACGCTCAGGTGGAAATTACAATGTCATTTATCTTCTCCGTGTCCCATCCCCATCCATCCCACTGTCCTTCGTGCACTCACTGCACCAGCCACCCCAGCCCCACTGCCATCTGTCTCCCATTGTCCTCCGTTCGTTGACTGGCTGCTCCCTCCATGCAGCCCCCAAGTGACCCATCTTCATCCCATCGTCTGTGCCTCTGTCATTCCTGGCAGTGTCAGCTCCACCTCTCTGTCTTCCCACCCGTCTTCCCACTCCTGTCTGCGTCCTAGGATCTTCTACCAGAACCTCAGCTTCTCTGCCCCCAGGTCTCCCACCCAGTTCCTTGAACTGCTGTGCCTTCTTTGCCCACTCTTAATTCAAGGCAGGGAGTTCAGCCTCCTCTCTTCAGCTCTTCTAGGTCCAAGAAGGCTAAAAGTTGTTCTTTGCTAGAATGGAGCACAGGCCAGTCTGAACTGTAGTTTTCTTCAGTTTCACCTGGAGGGTGTCCTAGAGACTTGGGGGTCTCCATTACCTCTGTTCTCCTGGTTCTCCATTCTGACTCCTGAGAATAGCGCCCTCTTCCTGGCTCTTAAGATCCTGAAGGCCTCCTGAGTCCTCTTCCCCCTTTCTTAAGTCCACCCTTCCTTTGGCCTTGCCCTCTGTCCTCCCACCTGACTTGCTTCCAAGCTCCCTGGTACTATCCTTTCTGCTCACCAGCCAGCTTGAGGCCTTCCCTTCTGCCCTCTCCCTTGTTTTTCCCAAATCCAGCTCTTTCCTACTCATATTCCTCCTTCCTGTGCTCTGACCACCAGGTCCCCACCACCACCACCAAGGCTCCTGACCCCATGACCCCACTCTCTCCCCCTGCAGCTCCTCATCAGGTAATTCTCCTGGTTCCGCTTTGACCACGGGCGGAGGACACTGGGGGAGGTGACTCCGGACCACTGCAGGTTGGTCATGAAGCCCACCCCTTCAAACTTTCTGGAGCCTCTCCCCTTTCACTGCTGCCCTCTACACCCACAGAACCTCCACAGTCCCTGTCTCCCTGCCCGCCCCCCCGCCCCCAAAGCACCACCAGAGAGCACTTTCTGACACTCCCCACAACCACCCTATGATGCCTTAGCAGTACTGAGTTTCACCCAGCACATTAACAGGTCCCACCCCTTCCCACCAAACCCACCCCTTCTAGCCTCTTCCTGACTACACTCTCCTTTTCCTCTACCTCTCCAGTGTATGTCTGTCACCCCCCATTTCACCAGAGCGTCCTGGGCAGGGGGTGGTTTGGGATGTTGGGGTAGGTTTAATAGGGTGGAGGGGATGATGGGTTGGGGGCCCTGGCCATAGGGGCTGTGCCAACTGCAGCAGGTACGTTGGGGTTTCCTCTTTCTTCCTTCCTTAACCCTGGTTCTCTACCCTCCTTCCTGATCCTCTTCTCTTGCGCTCTTCCTCATCCCTTAGTCTTGTGAGGTAGAAAGTGTCTGGGCTCATGTTAGTCCACAGTGGGCAAGAACTGGAAGTGTTGGGAATGGGTGGTTAGTTAACTTAGGGCACTTTGAGAGACACTGGAAAAAGATGCTGTTGAAATGTCCTGACAGTAGGCAGGTGGCATAAGGTTGGACAAAATGGAAATCTTGGACAGATGTTAAGCCATGGACTTGCCTGTGTGGCTTGGGAGTTAGAAGTGAAGTGAGCTGGTGGAGTGGCTCAAGTGGGAGAGCATCTGCCTAGTAAAGCATGAGACCCTGAGTTCAAAACCCCATACCACAAAAAAAAAAAAAAAAAAGAAAGAAAGAAAGAAAAAGAAAAAAAACAGTACTGCCAAAAAAAAAAAAAAAAAAAAAAAAAAAGCTGAGACAGTTTCCTGGGCTCAGTAGCCATGCTGACTCCCAGGGAGACATGCCAAGAACAGCATGCTAAATGACCTCTCTGTTCTTGTCAGAGCTCACATCCCCAGGTTGCTAATGCCACTCACGCGCCCCCCTCCACTCACCCAATGGCTTTGCTGGACACACAATTCTACCTAAAAAGCCAGTAAATGGGAACCTGTCAGCCCCAGACATCATTTCTGAGGTGTTTTATTTCTGTGGGATTGATCTGCAGTGGGCAGTGGCTCCTCACACTGTAATTTTAACTCTCTGCTTGCCTAGCTGTTCTGTTAAAGTAGTTAGTGATCTGTAAACAGATGCTAAAAGGCACCAGGGGACCTCACCATTTAAAGGACTCCTGCAGTGAACTCTTTTGTAAACTGAATAATAGCACCCTAATTTATCTACTTTCTAAATTTGGATTCATGGGGGTGTAGGGGGCATGCCCATGTGCCATCACCAGCACACAAGCAGAGGGAAGGGAATCTGAAGGTTCCTTTCCCTACTCTCCTGCCACGTATACTCAGGGTATCCTATCACACGTAATCTTCTCTTTCACTGACTGGCAGTGTGTGAAATACCCAGCAAGCTAACTGGGAAGCCTGGCCTAAGGCCAGGGTTTGGGTGACCTTCTTAGAGATGAGTTCTTGATCCTGGGATAGAAGAGAGAGCTGATCTGAGAGCCCTTACTGTGTCCTTTAGAGTTATGGTCATATATACCTATATGTTGCCAGGCCTAAATCCCCTGTGGGCTAAGAATTAATCTGGACATTTGCAATTTCTCCCTCTGCAACTTGGCTACTGATGTAAAAAATTAGTTTTAAGCTACAATTTTAAAAAGCCAAGTAAGTAACCAGGAATATGGGGAAACTCAGTGGTTTTTTCTCTCCCAGCAGAGGAACAGAAGGTCAGGCTGAGGGCAGGAACCAGGAATTGGTCCAGGAACCATAGGAGGTGATGAGAATAGGACCAGGAGTGGGCACAGAGTCTGGCACCCCTCCCTCACCCTCCAACTGGGAGCCCAGGGAGAGGGAATGAAAGGAAGATGGGGGTAGAAAGGAATGGAGCCAGTTTCTGTTTCCTGGGGATGCAGAGATTGGGGCCCGCTGTGTCCATACAGAAGCTCTCAGTCATTTCCGCCAAGTGTGTGCGGGGAGCCTTCCCACAAGATTTTCCCTTCCCATATCAACTTCCCTGAATCCCCTTCCTTTCCCCCCCAGTACAGTTAAACCTCTCTAATTTGGGATGTTATATTTGAGAAGATGGCCACTCTGAATAAGTGACAAAACTGAATGACAGTGTCTATTTAATGAAATGCTTGTCTTCAAAATATATACAGTAAGTAGAACTTGGTGAACAAAGCGCTTTTAGGCCCTCAGGGAGCATGCCTTAATGATGAGTAGATAGGACTGAAAAGTCTGTTTGCTGGTATAGGTTAAATATCCCCTCCCACAGACACATTTCCAGCGCTAATTTGCTTAGCACACCCTTTCTTCACAGATAAAGGAAAACTCAAGTCCAGTTTTTGTTCAAATCATGAAAAAAATTCCAAACCCACAGGGGTTTGGATTAATGAGGTTTTGCTGTACTGCCTCCCCTGGCTCCTCAATACAAAGTTCCTACCTGGGACTGGAGGTGGGCTGGGAGTGGGTTCCATGAGGAGGGTGGGCTGGGCAGGGTAAAGCTATCAGGTTAAGTTGGGGGTGAGGAGGGAGCTTACTGCTTTTGAGCTGGTTTCTTGGTAAGACTCTGGGTTGAAGGTTTGAAGATCTCTGTTAGGAGTTTGGGGGTGAGATTCTCTCCCTGATCCCAGAGGCTCCTGCAGGTGAGAAACAAAACGGGGATTGTCCTTGGAGGAGGGGGTGGACATGATTGTGAAGTAGGCAGGCTAGGGGGAGGCCACTGCTAGGGGCTGGCATCCAGGCCTCCACGAAGCGTCTCAATAAGTCCGCGCTCTCCTCTTTGGTGTCTTGCAGGAGAGGCAGCTTCCCCCCTTGGGTCCAACAAACCCGCGTGTGACGCTGGCCCCACCTTGGAACGGCCTGGCCCCCCCAGCCCCACCCCCCCCACCCCGGCTGCAGATCACGGAGAACGGCGAGTTCCGAAACACCGCAGACCACTAGCCCACCCAGCATCACAGACCTTCTCCTTCCCCATGTACCTCACCCTGGAACAGCTCCAACCACCAGGACTGGATGTCACCGAGGGACAGCGGGATTGCCTCCTTGGGGGGCACTGATCCCTCCATCCCCACTGCACCATTTCCAGGAGGGGGAGCAGGGACACTCAGCCACCCTCTTTCCTTCCTGTCGGGGTGCTGCCCCCTCTCTGACCCCCAGGGACCCTTGCCCTAGGATACCACCTACCCCACACAGACCCCTTAACTACGGGGTGCTATCCCCATCCTCTGCCTCATCGTTCCCCTGAGCACTGGGGGACAGACCCTCACCCCCACTCTGGGGGTGTGGCACCTCCAAACTTTCAACTTCAGGGTGATTTTTTTAGCAGTAACCAGAGCTGACAATCTAACTTCCCTCCACCGCCCCATTTTGGCCTCCTCTGCCCCCCTTCTTATGGGGAGGGGACCCCGGGTGATGGGGCCCTATTACCCCTTGATTTCTCAGGAGCGTCTGGGGGGGGCTCAGCACGCACAAACTCCTTCTCCTACCACTCTTAAATTTACTCCCTCCCCACCCAGAACCCAGATGGGGTGGAGGGGGCCACCGGGGCAGGGAGGGGGCGGCAAGGGAGGAATGGGAGTTGTCTCCCCTTCCTCCCACACCTGATCTGCTCTCGGCTGGTCCCAGAGCGGGGTGAGGGGGCTTATGCCCCCCCCTCCCCCAGTGTGTTGGGTGGGGTGGAATTGAGGTTAGGGTGAGGGGTTAGGGTTTAGGAAGGTGTGTATGTTGGGGAGGACAGACTAGTTGATCTGCCTGTGCCCTGACACACACAGTCCCCCTGCCCCTCCCCTCTCTCTTGGTCTCTACTTCCAGGGGGAGGGGGGAACTTACTCTAGGAAAAGCCATGTCTCTCTCCCCCAGGGTGGGGAACCTGTGTTGGAGGAGGGGTGTTGGGGGGGGCCCCCTTCCATGACTCTGTCCCCTAGGGGGAGGTAGGACAGGGCTGGGCTTCCCTCTCATCCTCCCCCTGCCCGAGTCTCCTTACACCTCCCTTCCTCCCCGCCAGCTCCACAATTTTTCGGTGTTTCTCTGTACATAGCTCTCTGGCGGGATAGGGGAGGTAGGATGGACGGGGTTTGGGTGGGTAGCCCATGGGAGGGGAGAAGCCCCTCCTTGGCACCCCCTCTTACCTGACTGCTGTCCCCTACCCAGCCTTTGCCCCTTCTTTCTTGTTTGGTATTGAGACTCTTCCCAGACTCCACTCTTCTTTCTTTTGTATGGACAGTTCCCCTTCAGTCCCATCCCCCTACAGACATACACCCAGCCGGGGCCAAATTTATACTTATATAAAAGTTGTAAATATGTGAAATTTTATCCCTGTGCCCTTTCCTCTGCTTTCCCAACCTCAGACCCTGCCCCTGGACCCCCACCCTTCTTCCTCTTTTCTTTGGCTGTTGTAATTATCTGGGGTTTGTACTGTACATATCCGGGGTGTGTGTGTGTGGGCTAGGGGCGACCCCTCTGTATAGAGCTTCCTGGCCCCCTCCCCCCCCCGCCCCTCCGCTTCCCTCCCCACCCAGCACCTTAATGGTAGGGAGATGCTCTTCCTACCTGTTTTATTTTGTTTTCTCGTTCCCCCTCTTTCAGCTTTCTCTATCCCCCCACCACTGCCCCCTTTTATCCACTCCCAGCCCCATTTCCTTTTTTTCTGGAGTGTGTGGTGAAACAGAAAAAAAAAATCATGTTTAATAAACGGAGATTGTTCTTTTATTGCTGCGCTGACTTTCTTAGCCTGGGGTCTCAGGACCAACCAGAAGAGTGACAGGACCTATTTTTTGAGAAAACGCTGACAGCCTGAGAGCAAAACTATATGTATCCCTAACTGGTGGCCAGTCTCCTCGTCACTGTCGCTATCCCACCCTGCGAGATTTATTCGATTTTAAGAGCGGGGTCTTGCCCTGGCCAAACCTTCCGTCTAGCCCTCCTCTCACTGCTTCCCTTAGCCCAAGGGGGAGCAGAGGTAGAGAACAGCGGCGGTATCTGATAGAAGAGTCCAAGTCTATTATACCTACATATATTTTTAACTGACTAGAACTAAGATTTCACTGTTGGCTAAAATGCTTCCATGCGAAATGGAGCAAAGAGCCTGGGTCCTTGACAAACGTGGGTTCCAGGCCAGCCGAACGGCTCTTTCAGCCTGTTTCCCTCGCATGGAAACAGGACGGCAACACCTACCTCCATGGCTCGTGGGACAAGAGGTGATGCGAGCCAATGCCGAGCCCACCCAGTAGGTGCCAAGTTAATATCGCCCCTCTCAACTCCTACCGCGGGGCGGACGTTACGCTTAATCACCAGGAGACGCAGCTTTCCGGGACAGCGGACGGGCTGCACTCTTAAAAGTCCGGGCTCCCGACCTTCCGCGGCGATAGAGACCCCAGCAGTTCCCCAGACACCCACCCTCGAGGCTCCGGGACCCAGGGCCTCCTTCCAGCCTACTGTTCTCGCCACACAACCAATCAGCATGAGGCTTGTAGGACGCTTCTCTCCAATTGGCTGCGGTCCTAGCTCCACTCCGTGCGCCGAGCGCGGGCGTCCGGCGGGGAGGTGGCGACTTCCGGCCGGGAGGGCGTAGTTGTATTGGTACGGCGAGGTCGGACAGCGTGTGTAACGGTGGGGGCGTGTCGGCAGTGCAGGCAACCGTGCGGGGATTTATGGTGTAGGGGTGGTCAGGGCTTCCCGGGAGCCGGCCTTTGTGCGTAGCGTGAGGCAGACGGGACGGCGGGACAGGCGTCTCGGGGCGGTGAGGTCAGGCGCGTGGCTAAAGGACCTCCTCATCTTTACAGGGCCTGGAAGTTAAAACCCCGGTTAGTGTTTTGTTGGTTTTGTTTTTGGTGAGCGGGACTGATCAGAACGGGTGCCTCTGCTCCTAACTGAAAAGTGTGTGCGGTGGGGGGGGGGCCGGAGAGGGGAGGGCATCTCCGCTTGCCACTGGATGCTCTTCCTGCCCATCTCCTTGTAGCCAGTGGCCTTCAGATGTGGCAAGTAGTAGATCAGTGCTCAGAGATTCTTAGACAACTAGAAACTTCAGGTGGTGGAATTTCAGCCCGTGGAGGAGCCTCCTACCATTCAGTTCTTTCCACATCTTCTCCTGGGGGGGGGCGGGGCGGGGCGGAGGGGAGCACATTTGAGGAGACACGTTTTTTCTCAAATAGAACTTCTGTGACTCCCATTTCTTGCCTCCACAGCCTTCGACCCGCGGAGTTTGTCTCCATACTTCTGTCTCTTCCTGACCTTCTGGGATCTCTGCCTTTCCAGGAGGCCATGGATACATCGACACCTTTGCCTCCCTCATCCTCCTCTCCGATCTGCAACCCAGCCCGAAGGACGATCCAGATCGAGTTCCCTCAGCATAGCTCATCGCTGCTGGAATCTCTGAACCGTCACAGGCTAGAGGGAAAGTTCTGTGATGTATCTCTTCTGGTGCAGGGCCGAGAACTCAGAGCACACAAAGCAGTGTTGGCTGCTGCTTCTCCTTACTTCCACGACAAACTGCTTCTGGGGGATGCACCACGACTCACCCTGCCAAGTGTCATTGAAGCTGATGCTTTTGAGGGGCTGCTTCAACTCATTTATTCTGGGCATCTCCGCTTGCCACTGGATGCTCTCCCTGCCCATCTCCTTGTAGCCAGTGGCCTTCAGATGTGGCAAGTAGTAGATCAGTGCTCAGAGATTCTTAGACAACTAGAAACTTCAGGTGGTGGAATTTCAGCCCGTGGAGGAACCTCCTACCATTCAGTTCTTTCCACATCTTCTCCAGGAGGTTGGTGTATTCGCTCTTCCTCTTTCCAGGCTCCAGTGCAGTCCTCTGCTTCTACTGAGAGTCCTGCTTCTACTGAGAGTCCCATTGGAGGAGAGGAGAGTGAACTGGGAGAAGTGTTACAAATTCAGGTGGAGGAAGAAGAGGAGGAGGAGGAAGATGAAGATGAAGAAGAGGAGGACCAGGGGTCAGCAGCCTCACTCTCTCAGGCTCCTCAACCTCAGAGGGTATCAGGGGCTTTTGCCCATACTCGAGGATCTCACCCACTCATACCTGCTCCTCCTCGCAGGCTTCCAGAGAGTGAGAGTGCTACAGTTGAGCCTCCTGCCCCTCCTACTGCACTGTCTCCCAAAATCTTCTACATTAAGCAGGAACCCTTTGAACCCAAGGAGGAGATACCAGGAGTTGGAACTCAATCTGGAGGAGCAAAGGAGGAGACCAAAGCATTTACTGGAGGGGATGCTGAAGGAAATGGGGAGCTAAGGTTCTTATTGCCCTCGGGAGCAGGGACAACATCTGGGGGAGGAGGTCCATCCTGGAAACCCGTGGATCTTCATGGGAATGAAATTCTGTCAGGGGGAGGAGGACCTGGAGGAGCAGGGCAGGCTGTACATGGCCCTGTGAAGCTAGGGGGGGCACCCCCTGCAGATGGAAAACGCTTTGGTTGTTTGTGTGGGAAGCGGTTTGCAGTAAAGCCAAAACGTGACCGACATATCATGTTGACCTTTAGCCTTAGGCCTTTTGGCTGTGGCATCTGCAACAAGCGTTTCAAGTTGAAGCATCATCTGACAGAGCACATGAAGACCCATGCTGGAGCCCTTCATGCCTGTCCCCATTGTGGTCGTCGGTTCCGGGTCCATGCCTGTTTTCTTCGCCACCGGGACCTGTGCAAGGGTCAAGGCTGGGCCACTGCCCACTGGACTTACAAGTGACTGCTAAAGCCATATACCAACTTCTAGGACAGTATAGCCACTGCTGCTGATGGATTCTTACCCTCTTGTTTTTGGGTATGGGTCTCAGCCTGACAGATTGGGAAGCTCAAGATTTCTCATCCCAGGTCTTTGTTAACCACCCTATAGAAAAGTGGTTTATAGGCCATACTTAAATTGATCAATTGCCTGCGATGGACCTTCTTTTTGTAGTGTTGATATCCATTGAGGAAACCGGACTTCAGATTAGAAGGTTGGTGAGAGAAGAGTTAGAGCATAATGACATAATGGTAACTTTTATTTAGTTTCCATGAGGAGTTAAAGGAGCTGGTCTCCATCGAGGAATATGTTTGATTCAGAGCTCAAATAATTCAGAGACTAAGCTCTAAGTGTTCCTCTTCCTCATTATTGCTAGAAAATGGGAACAGAATTCTTTTTATGTGCTTCTTTTTGTACCTTTCCAGAAGCCCCTCAGATTGTTCATGTGTTCTCACTAGTATCACTAGTAGACATCTTCCCGGTGCTTTTTTTTTTAATGTTGTAGTTGAGCACTTTAACAAAATGAGCATTCCATGTGTCATTCCTAGAACCCCCTTTAATAGAGGGTATTCCTTCAACAGCCTGTGCCTCTTGCCTACCTTTGACCACCACTGATAACTTGTTTATTGATCACCGTGATGTGACCAGTGAACTCAGGAGATGGCATCTGACTTAAAATGCTCTCAGGGTAGCACTACTGCTCTGTGAACAAGTTGCCATGGTTAGAGGGACTCAGGGCTGGGGCTGAGGCTGCACATGCTAAATAAAGACTAGAAAGTAACTGAATAGTGAGACCACACTGCCTCCTTTTCCATCCCACCCACATTTGATAGAGACCGCCCTGTATTGAGATGTGGAGGGGTAGATATTAGAACGGGGGGTGGAGGGAGATTTAATAGTTACTTAATTTCTTCTAATAAACTTTGCCCTGGAACCTAAACTGACATTGAACTGTTCTGAGTAATTTGTGTGGAAGAGATGTGAGAACAGAACTGCAAAGATAAGTGTGTTCCTTTTGCAGCCAGGTTATGTTGATGTAAGAAGAATGGGATGGTTTCAAAGATACTTCATAGTCAGAGCACACTGTCCAGGACTTAGACCCTGACCTGCCACTGAATAACCTTGGGTAAGTTACTTTACCTTTCAGAGTCAGAACTATTACCGATATTTGGTTCTCTGTTATCTTTTTTGTTTGCTTGAAATAGGGTCTCACTATGTAGTCCAGGCTAGCCTCAAGCTTGTGATCTTCCTGTCTGCCTCAAGTACTAGGATTACTGGTGTGTACCATTACAGTCTGACTTTGGCTTTTTTTTTTTAGTACTGGGGTTTGAACTCAGGGCCTCACACTTGCTAGGCAAGCACTCTACCACTTGAGAGCCACTCCACAGCCTCTTCTGTCTTCTTTTTTAAAAGGGTTTGGTTCACATCATCTTTGCCTATGATACTTCCCAATTTCCTATGTTATATAATGTTTGGCTATTGTTCCACAAACATTTAGTGCAAACACTATGCTAGACCCGATTAATACTCTGTCCTCAGAGTTCACAGCTACTACTGAAACTAGACAAATAATTACAGTGTGGTATAAGTCTGGGATAGTGGGCAGTATGAGCTATTTTAGTGGCAAAAAGGAAGTTGAGTTAAAGACCTTCTTTATAGGTCAGCAGAGGTTTCACAAACAATTGGAAATATGCCAAGAGTGTGATCATGAGTGTAGGTAACAACTGATGTGGGGATGGTAAACAAAAAGAGAACCTATCTCTTACTTCTAGAGGTAGGGCTAGAAGTAATAGCCTTCCTCAAGTGTGTGCCTCAAAAGTTGTTAGGTACAGCACTCAGAAGAAACATGACTTTGTGGCTAAGAAGGTGAATTCCAGCTGGGATTTGTCATCCTCTTGAATGAGCCATGCCATGGTCCTACCCCCATGGTAAGGACTGTGAATGCATTGGGAAAGAAAGTCCCACCAGCTACTCTTCTTGACATTCTTTCTGTAGGTAACTATATCCTTTGGTCATATAAATCCTTTGGTCATATAAATCCTTTAGCTGCAAGCTTGGAAGCTGACTCTGGCCAGCCTTATCAAAACAAGAATTTATGTAAGGATATGTCCTGAAATGGAAGGACCTGAGGACCAGCCTTCAAAAAGACAAGACCTGGCTCAGCTCCAGGTGTCCGTGGTGAGCAGGAATGCCTGAGCATACATGATAACTCATTCTTGGGTTTCCTGGTGCTGGAGATAGAATCCAGGGCCTTGCACATGCTAAGCATGGACTCTACCACTGAGCTAAGCCCCAGCTCTGATTTTTGTTTCTTGTGTCGCTGATGTAAAGATAGAATTTCTCAGGAGAGAACTTTGAGCTTAAGGTCCACCTTCTGGCCAGAGCACCTTGATCATATTTTCCTTTTGTATGTCAGTATGGCAGCAAAGTGGGTATGGAAGCTTCAAAGGGAAATTAAAGTCCTGGGACAGAAGAGTGGAGAGTTGGTTGCAGGTCTGCCCACAGCATTAAGCAGCCCACCTTAGTCTCCATTTGTTACATGTCTGAGGCGCCTTAATGGGTGTTTAAGAAATGTTGAACTGCTTAACTTCCTTCTACTTCAGCCTGCCAAACCTAAGGCAGAATTGCTTTCTCCCTCTCCTTCATCCCTATAACACTTTGTTATTACTTCTTTCAAACCAATTAAGAGCTTTTTAGGTATTATATGGAAAACTAATGTGATAAAAGTTTGTTTTGTGTTTGAGAAAGATTTTCTTTTAAGTAAACTTTAGCTTGTTTCCTCTTTGCCTCTGTCCTTTTCTCCTAATAATGGAAGTGATGTCCCTTCTGTCAAGGATAACCTTATTCCCAGAGCCTTTGTTCTTTTAGTTATCCCCTCTCTTCTGTACCTTCACCCTCTTTATCTCTGTAGTTCCTTAGCATTTAACTATGCTCAGTAGGTTGTGAGAATTAATACTTGTAAAATATTTAGAACAGAGGCTTGGGAGTGAGATCAGTAGTTGTCAGTTCCCCACACCTTTTCACAGACCAGTCTCTCTGGAAGAGATCGCATAACATAAGGAAACATATTTCAGCTAAATTGAAAATGAGGCATGTTGTGCTCAATAAGGATTAGATGTTATCCTTATTGTTGTTACCTGTTTCTTAAAGATACAGTTCTTCAAGGGCTCTTTTTTTTTCTTTTTGATGGTACTGGTGTTTGAACTCTGGGCCTCACTCTTTTTAGGCAGGCGTTCTACCACTATAGCTACTCTGCCAGTCCTTTTTTGTAGTGGGTATTTTCCAGATAAAGTCTCAAACTGTTTGCCCAGGCTGGCTTTGAACCTTGATCCTCCTGCTCTCTGCCTCCTCAGTAGCTAGGATTTCAGGCGTGAGCTGCTGGCACCCAGCTGTTCAGGGCTCTTTATGCTTTCTTCTAACTTTACATATTTTGGTGGTTTTGTTCACTCTTGAGATAAACCATTTAAATAGTAGTGACCTCCACTGGGATTTCTTCTTTCTTTCCTTCAACAGTAAGTACTTACTGTGTATCCTCAGGCACTGATAAGAGCAGAAAACATTATACAAACTTGGACCCTGGATTATCTCTTAAGAGACCTCTCAAGCATATTGTGTCTACAGTACATTACCACTAGCAAGCTACTTTTCGGTGGTGTCCAGCTTTGTTAATGGTTCCATTATCGACCCAGACACTCGAGGCTGAAACCTGGGAGTATCCCCTGATACCTCTCTCAACTCCCATAATTGTTCTATCAGTGCTATCTTCTGAATATTTCAAATGAATACATTCCTTCATCCTCCCTACTTCCACTGCAGCCTCCTAACTGGTTCTTGGTTTTGTCTTGCTTTCCCTCATATTTTGTTTTATGCGCAATGGCCAGAGTGAGCTTCCTAAAGCAAAAATGTACTGTTTCACCATCCTCCAGCACAGGCCTTTCCTCTGTTTCCTCTTACTGGTTCATGGAAGAGGAGTCCAAATGATCTAGTCCCAGATGCTAGTGTCTTATGGCTCACTGGCTCTCCTAGGCCTCTACTTTTCCTACTTCTCATGCTTATCAGGATGATTCCTATTTTCTTTAGACATGTCAGTTTAACCATAACTTCATCTAGAAATCTCCCTGACTACTAGGCCAAGGTAGGACCTCTACTATATGTTTCAGTAGCTCTAACTTCCCCATATCTTTCTTTTTCCTTTATTGTGATAAAACTAAACACAACATGTATTTACCATCTTTGTTTTTATTACTTATTAGTGTATATTAGTTGTACAAAATAATTTTATTGACATTTTCATACACATATGTAATGTACTTTTATCATAGTCACCCATTACCCTTTCTTGTCCCCCTTCTCACTGGTTCCCTTCCTTTTCCTACATAGTCCTTCTACTTTAATGTCTTGTTTTTAAAATCCAGCTTCTGCATGTGAGAGAAAACGTGATATTTATCTTTCTGAGTCTAACTTATTTCACTGATGATCTCCCTTTCTTTTCATTTCCCTAAAAATGACATTTCATTCTTTATGGATGAATAATACTGTTGTGTATATATAATACATTTTCAAAAATTTAGAACTGTTTATGAATTTGCATGTTATTCTTGCACAAGTCCAGGCTAGTCTCTCTGTCATTCCAATTTTAGTGTATGTGCTGGTAAAGCAAGCACTGACTTCCACATATCTTGCACTTTCCTTTGTTCAGTAATTATTTGCCAGTCCTCCAGTCTACCCATTACATGTGAACACTGCCCTAGGCACAATGGACAATGTCTGTTCTCAAGCTTACTACTAGTGCTATGAAGGAAATAAACCGGGTAATATGGTAAGTTACAGAAAAGGAAGCTGTGCCTTATGCATTGGTCTAATATGCAAAGAAAGAGGGAAGATGGAGCTAGTAAAGTGTTTAGCAAATGCAAAGACTAAGAAAGAGAAAAATTGATTTTTTTTTTTTCATCAGGGAGACTGGTGGACCTACAGTATGGAGAGAGAAATGAGATGTGATTGCAGAAGTAGTCTGGGGCTGGGTCACACAGTCCTCGGATCATAAAAAGGAATTTGGATTTGGAAGTATAGGGGAAAGGCTATAAGGAGTTTTAAGTAGGGGAGTAATCAAGAGATTACT